TTTATTAACAAATCACACTGAAAAAAAGCGGAAAACTCACTGGTATGAATGAGCTTTTTACAAGGTTTCTCGATCTGCTATTTACACCAGCTGACAAATAATAATGGGCCTACTATGAGGAAAGACGATAGCTTTTGTTATCCACATATCCATAAAGAACACTCAATAACTATGTCAAGTGTATGCGATAAACATAAACCCCACATGTTGGGTCAATAATATTGAGTCTAGCTTTATTTTCTCCATATGTTACTTATGTCCATCTGTAGGACTCGCATCCGGGAATGGTCCTTAGGGTCCTATCTCTGGCCCGACTATTGGTAGCAGGTCAAGCGAGGTTGGTTTGCGTTATCCGTCTATGGCTGTTGTTGTACTAAAGAGCCTGATTCCATTATCCGGTATATCACGGAATATGCAGAGCGGCAAGTACGATCAACCATAAATATCAATTTATTGTTTTTATGGGAAATGCTTAAAACGACTTTCAACGACGCATGTCCCTTCTCACCGTATGAATTCTCTGTTCGATTTCAGTGTCCAACGAGCGTATATAAATAATTAGATTTTATGACTTAAAGTAAGTGCACGCTGGTAGCAAACTTACTCCTTAATTCCGGCAGCTCTTTCACGTTTCTCTGGAGATTTCGCAGAAATGGCACATGATGCGTACGGAACCAGCATACGGGTCTGAAAAGTAATATTTCCCTATCAAAATCATTCTATACAGGTCATAAATACTCAGCAGTTTTTTTTTTAACTTGGGAGAGTGTCAAAACTGGAGACAAACTGAACGTAAGGACGTATAAGCTTTGTGTATAAAATATCTAAATGTCGTATTTTGACTCGATGTGAACATACGTCATTCCGCCAGATTTATCGACCACTAAGCCAACGATCAACCGACAGGTAAGTCGCTCCTTATAGCTAAGTTTTTTTCCTATAATAATTTACCTACAATATTTTGGGGAAAGGGCTCTCAGGACACAGGCAAGCAGCTATCAGGGTACGCTCAGGTGACTATGTTGCTTTACGATTTCGTTTGCCATTATTGTTGGTCCATTCATGATTCAGGCAAGGACGGCCCTCAGCGGCTTCCTCCTACCGTAACGGACCATTGTATGCATTACATGCGTTCGACTGTAGGGGTTAATACAACCTAACCCTGCGTCCTGCCGGCTTCTGGGCGTCTGCTGTTGGTATTGGGCGGTTGTGTGCAGCTGACATTGAATCACTCGATGCATACGTGTAACACAGACAAACGGACAAACATGCATAGATATACGTTGCTCAGTGGTCTGTTTAATAGTCGAGCAGGAACCTAAACACCGAAAACTATTTCGCGCCAGCGGTTGGCTAGCGATCATGGAAGCGACTGCGATGGTGGGGATACCACGAATGATCAGAATCATTTCTACGATTTTGAAGGGAATCTTGATGAAGAAAAAGACCGGTAAGCGCCACAGGCTTGAAAGAGCTAAACAATGTCGTCCCAACCAAACTCAGTGAATAGAGATGGGGTTCGAAGAAGGCTGTTGTGACGACTGGCAGGGTTAAACTACGCCGTACTAGTGCGTTGCGGTAAAAGCTATAAACGTGTTGTCTATTTAGTTTCCTGTTTCACAGTATGTATATATATAATTTAAGGCTATAAAGAAACTGCTGGGCTGGTCTATATAGAAAACAGATCTCTCATTATTGGCTGCTGAGCAGTTAAGTTAAGACCATCTGCCGAGGCAATAGCTCGCAATGACCATTAAATAATTACAATATAACGTGACAGTAAGTGGTTAGGTAGCCTTTAAATTTTTTTCATCTGCAGCTGTTAAACGCGCTTGCCTAGAATAGTGATAAACTTCTATAAGAAAAGCATGCTTACTTTTCAAATAAATCTTCAACGTATTCCGGAAATGGACCTCCTGTTACATCTGGATCGTAGAATCCTGCTCAACCCACAGCGATAAAAATATAAGCATGTTATTAGGTGGGTGGCATAGATTAATAACGCTGGCTTGTGTTTTGACCAACAACCTACTGGCGAGAAGTTGTTCACTAAATCATTATGGGTCACCTTGCTTTGATACCAATTGTAATTTTAGCCAATTTTGAACTCTAATAATATGTAATAATACTATTTCATATAATAAATAAGTAAATAAAATAGGAGCGTTTCCTCCATTCCGGTTATGTTTCTCGTTTTGGCCATATACGTTACGGTGTTCAAAGTAGCTTTCGTAGTCAAATGGATAGCTCATTTTTCTAGAAATGTCAAAAAATTCTCATAGCATTAAAATATTATTTAATCTTATTTTTTGAATTCATTAAATAAACTTTCGTTATATGTAAGCGACAACGTCATGTAAACAACGATTTTCTTCCGGGTGCCATTTGGTTGGTCTCCCCAAAGTGTCTTTTCGTGCCGCCCGCTAGACAACGAGAAATAAGGGCATACGCAGGCATTCGAATATGTCAGCTCGTTCAAGGCCGGCCAACATTTTGGACGAAATACAGATTTCCCCGCAAATCTTCGCGTAGGCATATCTGTTGTCGACGTGCAAGATACATCTTCACCGACGATTTCCACTTCCTTTGATTGCAACAAATGGATACCATTATCAAAATCAAAGCTACCTATCCCTCTTAAAGTTTTTTTTGTGTTTAATTACACGCCAAAATATGACCTTAGTGATTTGTTAATGTTATTTTTATTTCGCTTTTGGGAAATACGTTTTTCTTTTACTTGTTGGTTTCCTAAGGGGGCTGTCGTAAATGCTTTGTGCGAGCAGAGTCGATGCACTGTTATGTTCATATGATGAAATGGTTCTAATATATTCGGTGTCATTGATCCTATTCCTTTTAATCCAAACAAGGAACGATGTACTTCGACACAAACGGTCGGGTATATGTGGTTAGAAGGTAAAACTTGACCGAATTGCGAAAATATCGGCAGCCTTATTTGGGCCTTAGGTGTTACACAGAGTTGAAACCATTCCATCTTTTGGCGCCTCAACCTGGCGTCTACGAGTCAATGCAAAAACTTTCTACTAAGATAGCGTTCAGCTTTAGCTTACGCTGATAGATAAAGTTCGATGGCCGAAATCTATTCGTTCGGGAAGTAGCGTCTTCTAATCTATACATCACGTTTCCGTAAACTGACCATACGATTTCTATCGGCATCGACTTGAAGCCGCAACAGTGGCATATAGACTGCGGTAATATTTAAATGTTTAGTAAGACGGGTTAAGCATCAACGGCTATTATACTGATCTTTAATAGTCTTTTGGTTGCAAAAAAAAAAATACTAGCACACGGGACGTTCAGAACCGGGTCTTCCTTCTTCACAAACAGACCTAAGTAAGCTGGTAATCGCGAAAAAATAATGGCTTTCGTTCGGACACACACTATTTCGTTAGGTCAAGGAAGCAGCAGCCACTGCGCTGTCTGCTTTAGGAATTGCCTGCTATCTGCTTCCTTCCTTACTGAATACCGTTCACCGTGACGTCATGCGGGCATCATTTGCAGATCTGCTTCGCAAACAACATCATAAATCACGTACCACCGATGCGGTCATTGTCACAGCTTCTTTAGGACCACTTCAATGCTCACGGTTGCGCTCAGCAGAATAGTTTCGATATTCAGTTGTATATTTCGAAGTATGCCCCTGTACGACGGCGTGCAAAGCGTTTGAATAGCTTCAGATAACGCTAAAAATGGAATACCGGCTGGACGATACGATCAATCTCTGCTCAAAGTGTGTAAGTTGCCTGTCAGCAATACAAGCACGACCATATGTGTGCTGCAATGACTTACCGTATTGGCGCTGATAGCGAAATTCGATTGAGTTCAAAGATCAACTACTGAATTTTCATTGTATATCCCGTATGTTATGTAATGATACATATTGCTTTTACCAGAAAAAGACCATTTGAGAACAACTGGACCTTAAACAAAATTATTTATATCAGACATTATTATTTTATCAGTGGCATCCACAGAAGAACAGCATTGCCGTCTCCGTTATAGGGCAAATGCAGCTTAGATAAAAATGAACCCTGATCGTGTGGTGTAGAATAATAGTTTTGATGACATCTTCTTGCTTACACCCTTCGCTCTAATGGCTCTATCACAATAGAAATGAATGTCTGAGTAGCCATGGTAAAAAAAATACGCAAGATTATTCATTCTGATCATATTAATTGAGGTAGATTAGATTATTCTACCCATATTGTATTAAGTAATTATAGATAGCGTGAAGATATAGCTTTTCAAATCTTTAAGCGTTATGTTTAGTCTGCAACCGACAAAGATCTGTATACCCGCCAACAAAATAAAAACCAGCCACCGTATCGACGAGGGGCTGTCACCCCGTGACTTACCAAGGGGCAAATTGCAGTCGCGGTTTCTTGTAGATGTCGGAAGGTCCGCCAACGGATCGATGTTGCTTCCGGCGGGCCCTAGCGTAGAAGGCTCTCCTGCAAGTGTGTCGAACAGCACATTAGAGGTGGCGTATTTTGGATAACAGAAGGGCTGCCGCATAAACGAGTTCGAAGAGCGGACTTGTAGTTCGTCATTGGTTTCATCTATATCACTCATTATGACTTAATACGGGGCCTTAGCGGACTGTCGCGTTACACTCTGCTTGACTTACAGACACGTCTAATTGCACTTAGCAATTTTTGAGCTCGGGTACCTGCCGCGTGGCGATCTTCATGCGCGAGCTCGAGGGTCTATCAATCGCGTCCGGCCTAAGAGAGGGCCTTTATGGTGGCCCTTTCTCCAAGACAAAGCACCTTTGGGGAAATGAAGTGAGCTCGCCTAAATATAATTCATTCTGCGGTTTCAACGAATAGTCAAATAATTCGAGAGGTAATTGAACGCCTCCATTTTTCTGTCGTTCACTTTCGATTAAACCTTGTGGTGTAGATTTCGTTTGATCCATGGCCTAATGGATACTGGAAGTAACAAATTATACGATAACTATCTAATCCTTCGTTATGTTATGACATAGAGAATTTTCGTATAAAGGCGTAATTTTCTGTGTTATTATCGACATTCGAAAACTAGCGTAGAACTTAATCATAGATCAGGCACACGTACCAGTCAACGAATATTTAAAGAGTTTTATCGTAGTTCCCTATTGTTCAGTCCTATATCAACTTACTGAAGGATTTCGTCATATGGAAAGCTAGTTCGCGAAAGCTAACGTTATATCTATAGGCGTCAGTTTGCAAAACATTCAATTTTTTGACGCAAGGATCTACATTCATAGATGCAAATAAAAACAAACCACATCATATGGATAGAAGCATTTTACCGATGTTTTTTTAAAGAAAATTTTTCGCTTTCTTGAACAGTGAAGATACGGCGGAAATAGAATTCTGGGGTCAAATATAGGGATTATGCCTTGATAGATCGTATCCTGTCTTACTTTAGATGATATTTTTGGTTATTTTCTTATTATTTATCATAAAAGGGAAACTTTTCATAGTGTGTCACAACGAAGCATTTCTTTAGTAATCAAAACGGATCATACATTAAAAACATTAATAAGTATTATTAAGATATGAGTTGTTTTTTTTTATTATAATCAGACAAGGACACTTAACATCGAATCATCATAGACGCTGATCGGTATCGCCAGTGCTTAAACCATCGTAACACAAATAATGACTAGCAAAATGAGGCCAATAGATGTATAGCGGTCATAGCGCAGTAAGCTCAACCTTCAATCTGCGTAGCCGAATACCCTTCTTGGTCCTATTATGTACATCACTCACTGATTGAAAGAGTTATGAAATTAGATCAATGCATAATCGATAACACCTTTATTTGCACAAAAAGTTTGGAGGAGGGTATATTGTACTATACACAAAAAAGAAAGGCTGAAAATAGGCCATCTCTTCCACAGAAATCTATTACTCACTATTTGTTTGAACGCAATGACAAAATTAAGAACGATGATGCATGTTCACTTAGCTCAAAATTATCAAATCTGCTTTGTAAAGGTCACTGGTTCAGGACGATCCGGTCCTTAAAGAGCATATAGTATAAATAGCACGGTGTGCATATTTCGAATGATACTTGAGCGTCGTGAGCCCAAAACACCCAAACTCCTTGTTACCAATAGGCCAGTTATTCTCTTAATTGTAGATTCATTTTCGTACCTTTTCAGTTCACCATGGTGATGCTGGAGCAGGTCTTATGAAAAGCTTAGCCTTTGCATAGATGGGTCGCTTAGGCAGAATACATTATATTATAATAACATAAAGATTGACGCTTTGTCAAAAAATACTAGAACAGTATAAACTAGGAGACTAACGTTCTACTGAAAGGAGCCATTTTCCTTTTTTGAGCGAGCTGGAAGTTATTTCTCCTGTTGTAATATATAGGAGCTATGTGACGTGAGCGACATGTTTGATCGATCTGTCTATAGAAGATGACCAAATCGAACGCTATTACATATAGCAACGCACAAAACCATAGGGTTTAATTTTGATTAGTTTCGCCGGTTTCTTAACGTCTATGCTAAAACGTATCAATCTGTTTTCCAAATATTTACTCTAACTATTGTGCTACAATTAATTAAGTAAAAAAATTAGCAGAAGACACCATCCAGCATAAGCACAAGTAAGCGTAGTCGCATTTTAATTAATACATGGAAAATATTGACTAACAAAAATAGCCGCTGGTATATTCGATGTTACCGCGGAATACTGCCGTCGCCATGGGTTGACACGTGGGTTGGATTTAATGTATTTTGGCACTTCGTATAACAAACAAATACCGTGTACGTGTCTCAATGGCCTTTGGTTAGAATCAAAGTTGCATTAACAACCTGTTGGAGATGGGATCATTGCTTGTACAGGCATAAACTATAGATGATAATATAGTTTGCTAAAATCTGCCAGATTTATATAAATCTGAATTTAAATTAGACTAAGACTCGGCAAAATAGCCTTCAGAATCACCCTGGAATATAAAATAGGCACTTTTTACTAGCAGGAGACGCTCTAGCTGACGTGCAAGAAAACATCTTCTTAGACAGCATTCAAGATAGAACGTACAACTGGAAAAGCACAGAACTAAGCGTTATGAATAATGGGAATACTTTGTTTCTACAGCACTCCTATTTATAAAATAGGACCCTAGTCCGAGAGTATTATTACTTCGAAAAGTTCGATCCTTATACTTCAACAAGCCTTACCAGTGTAGCTGAACACCATTCTACCAACCGATCACATCGAACAGGATTACACGACACACAAACTTGCTCTTAAGCTTAAAAAAAAAAGAGACGCATGAAATTCTGCTTCGGAGATGAAAATCACTTAAGTACCATGGGAGTAGGCAAGTAAGGCCTAGCTACCTTTCTTCATGCAAAGACTACCTATCCAGACTAGCTTTTCCAATCAATCTGTGCCAAATTATGAAACTTCCCTCAATTTATGCATTTCCGAGTCGGGCGATGAAGCCGGCTCGTCAGGCCAACAAGGCCTTCAGAGCGGTTCGGTGTCCAGACAGGCTGAAGGCGCATTTCTCTTTCACCCGTCTGGCCCCTTTCCACAACGGCACCAACTCGATGTAAAACCACCGTCAGTGACGTTTAGATATGTTTGTGTTTAGCCCAAATATATTACATGTTTGTCTGCGTGTTCGTCCGATCAACGTGCGAGACGTCTTTATAATCAACAATGCGAACTTATATCATTATTTCCATTTTGTCAACACTGGAACTGGACACCCGTTCATTCAGTGCAAACAAAGAATAGAGACAATGTCTGACCCACGATACGATTTTCTGGACAGAACTTCGTTGAATGAGATACTACGCGCATGGGCCTTATAGGTCTTAAAAAAAATATTCCCCTATCTATGCTATTATGGCTATTGTAACAAGAGCATACTTCACGGCCTACAGTGGTACAACGGAATGTATTGAGCATCCCTATAACTGAAATGAACGCTTAGATATGTCAAATTGCTGGCAATAGGAAAAAAATGTATTAATTCTTATGAACTACACCCGAATGATCGTTGTTTGTCGAATGTCAAGGAAACATCGTAGCAACAACAACTGGATAATGCGGTATCCACATAGATTAGATAGTGTAGAGAAATGACTGTAGTTGCTGAGGAAGGCTTAAAGTTATTGCAGTCAAATGAGAGCCAATAAGTAATAATTTCTACTCCCACTAGCTAGAACTACACCCGAGGTCACCGATCAGGGTACGATCAGTTTATAGGCAGCACAATGGTGCTTTGTATGATTTAAGATCCACTCATTGTTCAGTACGCCTTTCTTCATAATTCAAAATACCCCTCACATTTAAAGGAGTTGTGTTCCCTTTCTAATTATTAGAAAATGTAATGGGTGGCATTCTTTATCACTTTACATAGAGAACATAGATAATTCTGGAAGCATAAAGCGATGTTAACAAAAATTCGCATCCTAGAAAGATGTCTAATGTCCAATATGATAATAATATGAATGATTTATTAAACACATTTTCATTGCAGTTGAATCATATCAGCTATTAGAAATGATCTCGGCGCGTAATTGTGGCTACGTAGATCCAGACAGCAAACACCTGGGATGGATAAGCGTGAACGTACGCCGCCAATGCGAACTCGGTACCCTCCTGGCACGTGAGATGCATCCCCGTCGATTTAACGGCATCCGTAACCGCTTTTATGCTTACGAAAGTCATCGACAATGGAAATCCGCTGAGCTTATGGGAGGCTAGTGTGTCTAACAGCGCTTCGGAACCCATTGCGTCCTTCCTTTGCATATGCTCCTCAAATTTTGGAAGTATACTACGGAGCATACGGCAGTGATTCCGGTTCCAGATCGTACGATCTTGTTTTCGCCAGCGCATGATTGACTCGCGAAGATGCGTCTCTAGAGTACTCTCAAGTTTTGAGGCGAGCATCTTGTCAGGCGGGGTATATCGGCACGCATCTGTTTGCAGCGTATGAAGTGGCAGACCGTGTTCACCTCGGAACAGCGGTTTCCACTTGTTCGACTTGTTTAGAACAAATTGAACTCGACATGGCCTTTGGTCATCCTGAATGTTAGCCCAGACATTGTCCTTACTGATGATGCACCCCACACTTTGTAGAGGGGAATTGACATCGGACAACAGGTAGCTTCGGCCCGTAACAGCGTTCCATATCCGATCGTCGAGACCTGTCGCCGCGTTGTTGATTGTGATCACGTACGCTGTCGCGCCCTCTGGTATTCCGTTACCGAGAAGGATGTACGCATTGACTCCACAGAACAGAAAGTAGTTACATAGTAGAATGGCATGCTCCTCCTCGTCGCCCACGAGCACTTGCAAAAATTGTTCACAGGTAGTCCAGATGTCGCGAATTCCGGGAAACAGGATGCTATCCGACACTGTAGGTATAAGTGACACAAACCGTGCGAGACGTTCCATCTTGATTTGCAGCGGATCCGTGTCGAAGAGGAGATCTCTTGGCGGAATGATCGGATTAATGAAACGAGTCATTAGCACCATTTTGCCTTCGATGTTTGCTGTAAGACATCGCACTTCCCTGTTCGGAAATTTAGCGTTTATCTCGTTCTGAAATTTGCTAGCCTTCACGAATATCTCCTCGGGTTCACCGCTCGGTAGCCGTTCTAAGATCATTTTGGGCAATTGGAGTGGCGGTTCAATGGTAATGAAGAGTGACAGCAGAATGAAATTGCTTTGTTCTCCATTTGTTGGCCATTGCTTTGACTCAAATTCATAACCGAACAGAACTGGGGGACTGTCCATTCGAAACGTTCCCTCGATTTTCGAGTTGATGTAGACGGTTGAAAATGGTATTGTTAAAGTACCTAGCCACCGTCGCTCGAGAATTTGATGAATATGGTCCTTTCCGTCTTCGTTTTGTAGATCAACGACAACCTGGTCACAAATATTCAGGTAGATCACATCGCGATTGTCGCCTTGGAAGGTGTCGTTACGAATGGACAGGGTCAGTTGCTGGTTCCATGTCGGATTGGGTCCATCAGAAACGAACGTTGCTTTGGAATTCTGCTGAAAGCTAACCTCTACAAAGGGTCGAACCTGGATAATCGAGTCGTTCATTTGGTTGAAGAGTACGGCCTGCCCGATATTCGGACTGGAAACGCGACGTTCGACGTCGGATCTTATTGGCACATTCGTGGCACGCAGGATCGTCACAATTAATTCAGCGTTAGCAAGGTCCGACTTGCCTTGGATGATCGAAGAGGTAAGGACCTTCTTTCGTTCTTTTCGTCGCGGTCGAAGTGGTCGTCTTGGCATTGTGACTTTGAGCATGCTCAGGCCTATACTTGTTATACCTGGTGCTTTGTCCTCAATTAGAATACTCTCTAGAGTGGTGTGATGCTGCACTGTTTTCCGATATTCAGCTACCAATTCACGCAGTTTATTTATTACAGTGCTTTGCGCACATTGGAAAGATTCAACGTCACCAAGTTCCTCAGAATCCCCAGCATCGCCCTTCGTTTGATACTCTCTTAGATAGAGTGGAATCAACGTAGTGATATCTTTCATAGGCGCGCGAACTTTTTCTCGCAACGACATGATGCTAAAGCGATCCTCTATGCTCAGCTCTCGCTGAAGCAGGAACTCATCCTTGAACGGCTCCAAGCGGAGGCTCGGTCCGTCGAGTCCATCCAATAGGTTCACCTGCCGCTTGTTTTCCTCCAACTCTGGAGCGATATCGTTATGGCTAATTTTGTAGGCGTGATAACGATTTTCAACTTGAGGCCTCACAGTTTTGTGACGGTCACCGAATTTACGCTTTTCTGTCACCAGTAATTCTTCAAGATCAGTGACGTTTTGCCGAATCGGTTTACTGTACACTGATATCTTCCAGCTCTCTACATTGAAGTCTTCAGTTTCATTTTTGCTTTTAAGGCTATCGGATCTAGAGTCGCTGAGGCTATCCTTTTCGGGTTTCAGATGTGTTCCGAGGAAAAAGACGATTCCATTGTTTCGTTCTGTCGCCAGCGTGAAGTCCAAATCCGGCATCGCTTTCGATTTTTCACTTAAAGATCTGAGGCCATTCACTGCTTGTAAACGACGTCGAACCCTCTGCTGTAAAATTCGTCTTGTTTCCATAGCTTCTTTGAGTTTGTTCGATGTTTTTGGTTTGTCTTCAAACGAAAGCAGTAAATGAAACGCTAGTTATGGCGTTGTAGCGGGATTAGCGGGTCGGATGCGCTTCGGACGGCTGCTCGCCTCGTATGTGCGTGAGGGTTATTGGTAAGGCCACATCGAAAGGAGGCTATGTTTGTAACAAGCGCTGTTTCCATAGCAACGTGTCGACAGTGGGTCAATTCGTCAGCCAGCCAACCAAAAGCAAGATGTGCTTCCGAAGTTTGCGACCCACAACTGGCTTGAACAAACAAAGTTTCTGCTGTGGGACAGTTACTTAATTTGTAAAACTACTTCATGTACTTGATCGTTTGTTCTGACCCTTTCAAGTGTTGCATTGTTTGATTTCAATACGCACACTGTTATTTTTACTGTAATTTTTTGTTGTGGTTTTTTCATCAAAACGTTATCGGAATTTATTAAAACGCATGAGATGTATGCTAGACTAAAATATTAGAAACTTTCTCGAACTCAAATGATCGTATTGCATAACACCTTTGAAGATGTAAAGGGTTCAAGTTCGCTTATTTCAAAACTAAACATATCCAAAGGGCCAATGTAACTGCTTATAATAGGAAGCTAACGTTTCCCATTTTCTTCTATAAAAAAGCCGGTTCGAACCACCGAAGAGTTTGTTCTTTCATTCACTCTATTCATTTATAATAGTACACGCGTAAATATTTATTTCAAGTCAAGTTATAATCTAAAATTAATGGTCACATGATGCAGGCCCACGTGTGCTCGATGTAACTTTTCGATCAGAACGATTCATTAGAGAGATTAAGAATCATTCGTAACGGACAGATCTTTTCTCAGTAACAATAAGATCCAAAAGAAAAGTTTACATCCGATTGGTGTGTACGTATGAAATACAGTGGCCCTATGTATAATTCAACTCACACATCCGTGTCTGCCTCCTCCACGACCATTGAGCAGTGGCCATCTTGTTTTCTCAAAATAGGAATATTTTGGTAACATTTACAGATTGGTGGGCACCCAGACAGATAGATAGATAGATAGCTTGACAGATCATCTACGATGCAACCCAGAGCCGGATAACCCGGTATATTCTGATTTCTTTCTTATTTTTTCGCGGCCCAGAGTGACAATTGCGTTCTGAACATCTTTATTATACAGGAATAAACGTATCATGACACACTGTCAAAAGGTGACATATTAAAGTCACTCTGCTGCGAGCTTTTTCCCTTTATTTGAGTACACCTTGTAAGCCGCTATAAATTCAACCGTTTATATATATTAGTACAGGCAGGCTTAAATAGCTCCATTCCCAATGTATCGACCTCATTCAGTTGTTTGCGCTATAATTAAGTTATAGGTATTTTGGTTTGTTGTATAATACGACGTTTATATTACGCACGTGTTGTAAACTGGCGTCATTTATCACAGCTCAATGTCAATACATCACCGTATGCATGCCCCAACGGCAATATCTCTATTTGGCCTACGCCATTTTTGTCTACAGTCGAAGCGTCTTTGAAGCTTTGTTGTTCAACAAACTACCGACGCCTCTAAGCGAACAATTGACAAACGTACGAACGAAAATATCCGTATAAACATACTTGAAAATCATTCACTGATCAAAAATAAATGAGGTAATGTTAGGGTCGCCTCCGAAAGATTGATCAGTAAAAAAAAAAAGAGTACTCCGCACGTATGCACAGGTGAAAACATGTTGAAGTTCTGTTTATATTATTGACAAGCCTCCGATTCGCGGAAAATCAATGTACTGTATACGTTCAAATCGTTTGGATGAGCCATATAAGATGCGCCCTATGTTTGTAGCCTGTTTTATCAAACAACACGACAGGGTGTGTACCGAACCTATTCGACGGAGCGAAATGATATCCATTAGATTTCAACGGTCAAGGCTAAGCTAGGGGTGGAAACACAGGCCGTTCAGCTATGGAGTTTTGACCAGTTTTAAGGTGGCGTTAGGCGAAAGAGCTTGCGACGTCTCGAAAGGTGGTAAATAGTCGGGAAGTAAAATGTAATAAATACATCGACGAGCGCAGTGGCAAAGAAGACGAGCGCTCGAAGACATAATCTATACGCATCCATTGTATACACAATCGTCGTTGTGCTTGTGCTGTTATGGCGGATGGTCCCGAATTGTGTTTTGCTAACCGAGAACTGCTGACTAAGCGATTATTGCTGAGTAACAGCCGTTCCCGTTTCAGCAGCGGCTGGTGCAGTTCGTAACAGTTCAATAAGGTGGACAACTATGGGTGCTTCGGGGCAAAGGCCGACTGGCCTGACAGCCCAACCCTATCGAACCTAATGGTAACAAACATCGAAAGCCAGAAGGGAGACGCTATGAACATTTATGTTTTCGCCGCGACAACTAATTGCGAGCTCAAGTCCTCGCTAAAACGAGAAAAATTATAAAACTTCAGGTTACGCTTACTAAAAATTGAAGGTAGGGGAAGACACGACGGTAAGTTCAACTAATAAACACAACAGATATAAAAAAAAAAAAGATAATGATTATGAGGCAGATAGTAGGTTGAATAGTCGTATGTAGGTAATAATATTCAATATGACAAATCAGCTCGCTAACACTGTAGTAGAGACAAATAGACTGCTTGAAACGAGAGATTTAGATGGCCAACGAGTTCAGGACTAGAAGAATGCAGGAGTCTACAAGCGTTCTTTTACATGCACACATACTGGATAAAAAAAAAAAAAAAAAGGAAAAAAGGAGCTGAGGACTAAGCGATACAGTAACTGATATTTCGTCGCATACACAGGAAGAGCAATTGAGGTGTTCCTTTGACACGTCGCGGTACGATGGAGATACGTTCCGATAAGGCAAACCTAAACAGATGCAAACATTGGAACTCTGGAACATTGGTTGAGTTGCAACAATGTAGCCGCTTGCTACATCGAGAGGCCTCAAGAGCTTCAATAGATAAAGTCAACCATATGCTTTAAATACTGTACTTCTTTGGGTTACCGTTGCACAAATGTTGTGTACTGAGTAATACTCAGTGTACAAATGCAAGCTATCCCCAAACAATAATCACAATATGGACCGTCAAGACATGGCCCTAACAAATGTCACTGTTTTTCTCTCACAAGGAGCTCTATAATCGATTACGACGAAAGTCATGAAGGGCACGTCGACATGGTCTCTCTAGCGGCGGCATAGGACCGTGCACTCGATGTCGGTATAATAAAAGACAAAACTTTGATAGTATGTATACATATATATCACTTCCCTTAAGATGCCTAGCCGGTTTTACTGACATTCCAATGAATCAAATCGAACCATTTCGGCTGATAATAATTATAAGCCATCATAACAGCTGAACAGTTCTAGCATTTCAGCCAAACTGATTTATATAGACATATATACATGTGTGTATGGCTGTCTAGTCGATTTTCCTTTTATAATAAAATAGGGTCCGCGGGACCTATACTTCCAAAGAGCAGGTTTGCAGTGTTCACAGTAATTGGTTCCCGTCGAAACAATCATCATACTGAAAAGTTCCAACATAAACTAGATCCTTCAAAGCGCTAACATGTAAACAGACAGGTCCATATATATGTACGCCCGACGTTGTACTCTACTATTATTTCTTGTGTCGTAAATCATACGAGTGAGCCTTTGACGACAGCAGTCGTATGGCCAACGCGATCACAATAAATCTGCCTACGCTACCTAACCTGTACCGCAGAGCTGTCGTTTACTGAGGTTTTCTTTTTTTGCCCAACATTTACACGTCTTTCTACGAATCGGGCAAAAGGGGGCGGCACAGCGATGCTGTAAGCATTGCCTTCGTTGTAAAAGCCCGGAATAAAAGACTCGTCCTGCAGCAGCGTCGGACAGGCCTGTCATTATGCTTTTTCGCACAGCGAAAGAGAGGCCTGCTGTTTTTTCTATCGGTCACGTTCGTTTGCAACAGCTTCAAGGCAAGGAAACGCTTGCCCCATAGGTCTGTTCGCTTATAAAATTGTTCTTTTTCTGCTCTGTTAGTGGGTGGCCTAGTAGGGCCTGAACGCTTAGCTCGGCTCGACTAAAAACAGCGTTAAACAATGCGCTCAGAGAATGATGAGAAGAAAGGACGCACTAAATACGAAACCAAATATTTTAATCCTCCGATGAATCTAACTAGAGACGCAAGGCATGTCGATAAAATTAAATGTTCGCGATTTTTTTTGAAGGCCTTTGTTAAATATCCGAAATCGGTCACGGACGCTGAAGAGCACCCTTTTTTTGCCTCTTGACCTAAAGAAATGATTGTTTTATTTGCGAATTCGCAATGCATCGGCAGGCCGGTCATTTTATAGGTGACGGTTTATTAGGTTGCCCTTGAAGGGTGCACGAACATGATTACGTCAGCACTGTGTATCTTTTAATGCCAGTGCCTTGTACTATCAGACTTTGAATACTGTTTTTACGGAATCGAAGCTTTGGCTTGTATGCGAATTTGGTCTGGCGATTGGCAACGCTACGATTTGCTTATTGGTCACCTGGCTATGTATTGATGATGGTCTTAAACATTTTTCATTTAGAACAATGTGGTGGGAGGGTGCACGACTAGAGGTGGCCGGTATGAAATGCACGTTCTATTAATTATTTCCTGCGGAAGATCATTAGCTTAAGAGATTCATCGTGATCCAATCGTTTAGCCTATCAATGGATCAATATTGGGCGATTTGGAATTGCTGTTAGAAGCCTGTGTTTTAAAAAATTCGCGAAAGTACAACTGGTAGAGTAGGACAACACAAAATCGTTTTTTGGATGAGCTTAGCTGTCAAAGACCCGTTCGGCAGCTTGTGTAAATTTTGGCCTTATTATAACCTTTAACATGGTTATGACACTCGATCAGGGCAGGCTTGGTATTCAGTGTAATTTTTCGTATCACTGGTTAAGGACACGTGGTTTTATTAAACGAAAGCGCCGACCGTAGTTTGTCATAGGTTTACAGGCTCCGACTAACCTGTTAAGGACTCAGAGTAGTGCCTATTTAGTTTTGGCACCAGTCACTGTTTATATCTGTAATAATTACTCTTCTATCTATTAGTAATTGAATAATGACGACGGTTAGTATTCGGGTTAGCTCAGCCAATAACATTTTGCTTGTTTTGAGCTACTCAATTTACGCGTGTTAATCGAGTGTTCACATGTTTCTGTGCGTTGCCCATAAATGTAACGTTTTTAGCCCACGCATCGTCTGCAGTCTATGTACTATGCTGCAGGTTCGAATGACTGTTTCTCTTCTATCTTGAAAGCTCTGTTTTCCCTTCGGTGAGAATTAACTAACCTATTTGTCGGAGCACGATTGTTGCTGCGGCCCTTCCAAGCCGGTTGCTTGCAACACACGTATAAACTCCATAGTCAGCTTCACTTGGACGGAATACCTTCACGTGGCATACGCCTCCTCTCAAAAATGTAACGTCACGATGAAGATCTGTGCGGATACGATCTTCACCGAGATAGCTAGCGAGTTGGAAAGACAATTTCGTTAGGTAGAAGACACGTATCCAGTTCGTGACAGCTGTGAAAATCACTAAAATAACGCGATGATTTATTCGTAACTTTCATTTTGAGCGAGCAGTTGGTTCATATCAACGTATATGTCTGTTTGACGATCTGCCGTAAAATTCGCGTACTTAAACGCATAACAGTCATCTTTCGGACGAAGGCGGGTGATAACTGAATGGCTCGTAAGTTCGTTCATACTACCGGAAATAAGCAAGCAGCTGAGAATATACTGGGGTTGTTGTTTCATAATATAGTAAAATTATAATTCGCAATACTATAGAGCTCATATGGCCTTTATTTTTTGAGTGGCGTGATTTTGAATCTCGCGGTAAAAGGACTATGGGGGGTTTAAACAAAACAAGCCTTACGAATGCCAGGACAGATTTTCATTACGCACAGTACAGAACAAAGCAAGCATACTGATGATATCGAGTGAAGAGCGTAAAAACGTTTGCCAAATCCTACCCACACGTGTATCGAAGGTAACGGCCATCCAGCGACGCGCCAGCGAAGTTCTGCAATTTCTGCACCCGTTGTCACCTGAACAGTTTCAGTTGCGCGCCAAACAATCGGACGCTCCGGACTTTCCTCCCTGCCTCCTATCAAGACACAGACCATCGCTTAGTTTTCACCGAAAAATATATACGACTATTTTGCGTGCAGTCCGTTTCGCTGTTGAGACGCTTTGATTGGATATTTTAGCAGCTGAAATCTGATCTAATACTAATAAACAAAAAAAAAAACAAAAACTTGAATAATTATGAAATTATAATTCACGAGCGTGAAGAAACGCGCGCAATTAAAATACGATTTGTTTTGTTATATACCTGTAACCCGCAGGTAAGCAGATGTTGTGCAATGACCGAACCGATTCTTGGCGACGACCGAGTACTCTCCAGTGTCTGTATTTTTTGCGTTATAAATCTCCAGCGTGCACAGACCGAAGTCCAACTGCAAGCGACGTATACGCATATATTAAAGAACATGGAAGGTAACCCTGCATTGAAATTTGCTAGTACTGACATTGCAATAATAGACGGGTTCGATAGACGAGTTAGCCCGTTCAATACATGAAGACCTTTCCAGACGTCTGTAGCCCCGACATCTGATAACTTAATTCTGATACTACTAATGTCTCTTCAAAAGTAAGTCACAGGTAATCACTCTCTTGGTAATATCTGCGAAAATAGCCCCTGAAACTATTTGTTACCCCTGAGACAGTTTAATGTACTAAACGGCTATTCATTATTAAGGATCTAAGGTTTGAAGACTATTTCATAAAGCTTTAATGTTAGTCTACGATTACCAGAGGCTTGAATATGTCGCGCTTTCAGGTCATCAGAAAAAATGCGTGCTAAGGGCAAGGTGCTACGCGGGAGATGCGGATGACCAGGACATCGGCAGGAATTCGATCGAATTACCACAGTCCACCTTGCGATAACCGTCCATTATCCGAACGCCTAAATGTTACCGAAAAAGAAATCGAGTTCCAGAAATGACCTTTTACAAGTTTCTACGAGACCCTCGAGCCTATTGCTTGCGCTCGTAGATAATTGGATTGAAGGGATAAACGAGAGTTACATGAAGACGCATGCAAGATGTCGCCTGGATTTTTTTACTCGAGTTTAGGCCGAACGGAATGGCGAATACAGCCCGAAAAGGGGAAGTGGTATAAAAAAAAAAAAGAACAAGAATGATTTCTGAATGTCTACCTGCATCATGTGCATACAGATGGTGTTTACCATAATAATAAGACGTTGCATCATACAAGCGTGATAACTGCGTGCGATCGTAGACATACAATCGCGGCAAGGAAATTCGGCGATAGCAGTGAAAACAAAATGTCAACCGTTTGATTCACGTCCGTAATCAACGTTGCCAGTAAGAGCACCTAGTGCCAGATTTCGGATAGGACACTGTCATTTTCATATCGGAAACAAACCCATAGATGAATGCCTAAGGACCAAAGGACATATTGAACGTAGCCAGTGTGTAGTAGAAAAAAAACTGTTTTGGAACGACCGGATGCCGAGTCCTGTTTGGCCGAAGGCGAAACTGTGTTAACCGCAACGCATCATATGCTCGCTGCGACAAAGACCGATTAATGAAGCCGCGAAAAGCGTCCTCCGGAACGAATTCGAAATATCCACAGAAACTACAACAGTAGATTATACTAAGAAATCGAAATTAGGCGGCGGTTTCATCAGATCAAGGTTTCCAGACGACGACGACGACGTCATCAGCGCAAGCAAGGATTACCGCCTCAAGTTAATCTCGATCCGTTCGTCAGCAATCATATAGGCATACCCGTCACAAGTAGCTGTCGGCACGTAGCTTTGAGGTATTTAGATTGTGACTGCTGCACACTGTTATGACGATGCGATGTAACAGCGATGTAACTCTACAGAGTAACATTGCATGCATCTCCGTCAGCAACTATCTATAGAGCCCACGTAACATGCCTACTGGGCCCTTGGTGATCGTTTATGTCAACTAGGGCTTGATAACGCTTTCTCCGTGCACGCTGACTGCTTATTAGCCCGATAATTAATATTATCGAGAAAAATCAACACTGCTACTGTAAAGCATAGCGAAGTGCTACCGAACTGACTGAGTTTTAGACGGCATAGAAATCTGAAACTGTAGAATGTAACGAAATGAGAAGGTGCTTACTTATCAACGATTCATTTCCTGAAAAGTAGGTCAACTTTGATGATGTGCTTGATAGAATTTCTGCCCATCGCGACGTGAACGGGTTTGTCGACGGATCCTGATCGGAAGCAACTTCAAGATGACGTTCAGAGAAAACAATCGAATTTACATAGATCTTCCTTTACTACAAACTTTATACAGTTAAAATTTTATCCAGGTGCAACATCACTAACGTAAGCTCCCTTGTCCTTCTTCACCGTCCCCAAAGTAATATAAAAGAGATTTCCATCGTATGCTTTTCTTTTTATGCACTTCCAGAAAAGGTCTAGCGGAGTTACTGCGCATTATGCGAAAAATCATTCGACGTTACGTTGCCTGAAGAACAGCCGCTGACCGAAGTGATCCTTCAATAGTAACGCGAAGGGGTGGAGCATCTTGCTGTAACCAAATGTTTTGCAAACTTTCTTCAACGATTTCGGGTAGAAAAATGCTTGAGATCATATTCGGTACCGAACAAAATGCCTTCGTCCGACGTAACGCAGCCGTTTGCCGCTTCTTTGAATCGTAAACACTTTTCGTGTATAGCTGGGAAATTCTCAGTCTACGACAAGCTAACAAACTTAAGAAAAAGACCTGCATCGCCAAAGCAGAGATAAGGTAGACGTACGTGGAAAAGTGGCCAGAAAATAGGTGAAACGAATAGTTACTATAAAGGAAGCCAAGGAAATTTACCTTATTCTGGCGAAATCGGTAAAGTTCGCGATACCGAAAGATTTATGTGAATACATTAAGCTGTTTTTCCTGGCGTCATTTTCCCAAAGTTACTCCCAATCCGATAGTGGTCGCTACATTACTACAGAAGTACGAAGCTGTTCGGTGGCTGTCATGTTTTGCGCCATGCTGGAGCCATGTTTGTGTGATCTTCGGCTGTTTATTTTAAAAATGAAACTTTAAACACGCAGTCCGGGAGTGTTGCGCATCGATCGAAATATCGTGCTTATGCCAATTTAGTAAAAGCTAGCCGACATGCGTGTGAGTCCATCGAACAGACCATTTCTGGGATGTGTGTCATCAGTCGCGTATCGCGTCCGTTAGGGTCGATACATAATCAATCAGTGAATAGTGCTTAGAAGAAGATTTCAAGCGTAGCACATTGGGAACAAGTGATTTTACATAAAAGTAAATTTAATTCTTAATAGAAACCTCTTTGTGTTAGCGAATAGTGGCGAACAATATGAAACGCTAATGGAGTCCCCCAATTAACTTTGTTTAATTGAGCAATACGTTACGCATCACAACTACATATTCAAGCGTAGCGTCGCTGGACGCTGAATTTCTTAAAACATGCAGAGTACGTCCAGTCCTTTGCACGTCCAGAAATAGCCACCCACAAGCCAAAATACCCAAGAGAATAAGACATAACAGAAAATTGTTTGTTTAGTATAATACGCGACAAAGTAAATAAGCTCTGGAAGAGTGCTGAAGCTATACAAATAAAATTCGAGATTTCAAACTCTTAGTATCAGCCCATCTGGAAATTACCTTTACTTAACTAAACTTTAAGTCAAAATATGAAGCTGTTACAGGCGAACACGGCGGGCGTTCACATTCTATAACTTTCAAGTTAATGAAACCGAAACGATGTTCTTAGAAAAAGTGTTTTATTTTATTTTTTGTACGTTTGTCCCCACCGGTTTCTGTATAGCCATGTATCTATCATTCGCGTTTCCATATATAATTTTTCCATCTAGGCTTTCTAAAAGCAAATTCATAATGAACTACACTCGCTCATCCCCCTTTTTAGGGCACAGACAGCCCCGTAGTCATACGGAAATAGACTGCGAAGGTAAACAGGATAAGACCAACGCTTTTGCTCAACCCAACAAGTAACTGAGGCATGACAATGAAGCCTGTTATTGGCATCATGTAACACGACTGCATGCTTTTGATTGTTGCCAAAACGCTTCACGTATCTTTTGAAGTCAGCGAGTTCTATGTTCGGCGAGTATCTCATAGCATAGTGACAGGTGTTTTTTCTCGTCTATTAGAAATATTACTATATTTATAGTTAAATCCGAACCTGTCCGATTCTGTCGTTAAACTCGATTTCTCTCCAGCGCTGGCAGCGGAAATAGAACCATGATTTGTTTATAGCGACTATATGCTCCATGCGGCTTATTATACATTAAAGTTTCGCAAATTATGTAAAAGGTATCACATGCAAGATCCGGAGTCAATTCAGGAGGATCCACTCAATTTTTAGCATATTACATGTGAACTGCCAGTTTTGGTCGATAGACCCTTAGATATTTTACGACTGCTTTCGCAAAACGCGTCCTCGATTGCGACAGTGCGTTCTTATATTTTGGGTCCCGATATCTAGTCACCTAATGTCTTCACTAATCTTTTATAAAGTCCCCCAACGCTGCGGTCTTCGGGAGAGAAAAACTTCGTTCACTAGCAGCTCGAAATTCAAGAGCCTAGTATGCTTAAAGTTATTAGACTGATATGAATGAAGATGAAAAGTGCCGATCTGGCTGGCCAGTTATAGAAATGTAATTATTAAACCTCGATGATTGGGCTTTAAGGCAACTTACCCCTACCGAGTTTAGTACATTCAAAGCAAACCGTACTGCTAACCAGTATAAGAAAGTCAAAATGTTCATCCAACTGGGTGGTTTACAAAATGGCTGTATGCATTTCTCCAATGAAATGTCGTACGGGAAATAGCCGGGGTTCCCAATTAAGCCTCTAATTCTAACGCACTCTATTTAATTGACTTTAACCCTCTAGGTAGACCTTAACTGCTTCTGTTACAGTTACTGATTGCTCCTCATAACTTACCATGCTCACAATGAAATGCCGATTTTTCAGCTTTAAAGGGTTTCCATTTTGGAACCAGCTGATTTGTGGACAAGGGTCGCCATCGATGGCACAGCTAAGCTTGACGCGGCAGCCGACTTGAATAAGCCGGTTCTGTAGATGGCTAATGACCTTTGGTGTCGTTCCAGACATTTTGGTACCATAGTGGGTAACAGTTGCTTTCCTCGCTATCGACAATTCGCTTTCCGAACTGCTTGGTGAGGGCAGACTAAATATGCTTCCTGTCTTCTCAGCGTAAAAACGTTTTTTCGCTGCAGCAGTATGTTGCTTGTCGGCTTGATTTTTCTTTTCGGGTGCTTTCCACTCGATGAAAAACTTTGGGAGAACTCCAGTATAGTACGCTTGATAAGGATTATTGTAGAGCTCGGCCTGTTGACCAATTTCGCGTGAAAGCTGCTGAGAGCTCTCTTTCATACCGTTGCTACGATATTCTACGCCCTCATCACTGCCGTGGTCTAAAATTTTCTGTAGTGACTTCAGGTCCCGTTCGAGACTGGCCATCTCCATTCCAAGTCCGTATTCTAACGATTCAATTCGTTGCTCCCGGTCGTCATATTCGCGTCCGATGAAGTCTTCGAGGGAGGCAATGTCCGAAATTGAGGAACAGTTCGACTCGGCATGAGCCTGTGGACTTCGCTCCAATAGTTGAATACAATTGTCAGTAGCATTTGCAGCCTTGCTTAGAGATGCTAGTAAGCGATCACTTGCTATTGTATACAAAGAAAATTACATTTAGAGTTTGCTGTTTTAATTTGGCTCTGTGGAAGGGTCACGACAAAGGGGAGCGAGCATCAGGGGTTATTGATGATGGCAGAAGTCATGGGCTTCATTGATGAAAAAGAGTTGGAGTCATGTAAATTAATCAAGTCATCTATAATGCTTTGGCAGGAGATCATGACCAGTAATATGGACGAAATCGTACCTTCAGAAACAGGATCCTTTAGCGATATCTCATCGATTTCGTGGATGTTTTCCAGTATGGAAGCTCTTCGTTCAAAGGCAATGAGAGGGACTCCGTCCTTCACTTCAGGCTGTCTACCATTTTTAGCAACGTGCAGGTGACTGGGTTCGGTGAGAACCTCAGCTAATTCTTCGCGAACTCTAATGTCTTCCAGACATTCTACAAATGTTTGAAGGAAAAATAGTAGGTCATAATCATTGAAAATTGAGGATTATAAATGTTCGGTCATTTTCCAAGTAATACTTAGTTTTAGTTCTAGTAAAACACGTCTCAGCCTTGACGAACCTTCATCATCAGTAATTTCGGCAACACTGTCCGCATACGAGGTCCTCCTTTTTCCGTTGGCATCAGCGTCAGCAGCACCGATCGGCATAACTGTTACTTCATCTTCACAAATCTCTTCCACGACGTCCTCGAATCCTTGCCCTTCGGAATAGGACATGTGTTGCAAAACAAAAAAAAAGCTGTAAAATGTGGACAAAAATGGTATGCTCAGCACACTCAGTAGAATGCAATTGTGTTTTCCAGCTTATAGATTGTGGTTTTAACGTTAGGGGTCACTCGTGTTAATTCTAGTATAAGATCAAAGACAGTTATACGAGAAGGTGGGAGAAAAACTGTAAAAAGAAAAGAAAAACGCAGACTGAAATCAAACTACTTTAACAAATAACCACTTTCAAACAACTTCATATATATTCGCTCATTGCAAAAATATCTAAATTTACCGTTTGCCTCTATGACTGTCATGACTGGGCTCTCTGACGTAGATGAGATTCCCACAGGACCTGTCAGAACTTGTTGGGGTAGAACTTCAGATGGCCTAGGCACGAGATTCATTTCTTCGGCTTCCGCTAACGAGCTAGCCTGAATCGTCAGGCTCTGATGAGACATCGGACTCGGGTGTGAAGCCGGAGTCCGTTGTACGACTGTAGCATCATGTTCAGAACCTGCGATATATTGCCAGATGAAAGGATTCGTCCTGAGATGAAGATACGTAACTGTAGTAAACGAAATGTACTTAATATAGATTTAAGCAGGCTAAGTATAATGCTAAAATGGCAGCAGTACCTGAACAATCGTGCGTGACAAGATTCATTAGCTCCGACATTTCAATATCCAGCGCCGTGTCGTTCGAAGAGGCGGCGGTACCAACGGGAGAAGCTGAGTAATAACCTGTGTTTTGATACGTGGAGAACTCAGACACCGAATCCAGCGTATCGTCGGCAACTACGCATAAAGAAAAAAAAAATGTGATTTTTATTAATCTAAACAATAAATTTGCCAAAGTTATGTGACATGTAACAGTACTAACAATCCAAGGCACTGCTAATCGATGAAGTATAGGCTCTACTATAACGACTATTAGCTGGTCAAGTTCTACTAGCGTATAGTCAGTTCAGAGGAAGCAAAAATCTCATTTAATGAGGAAAATCAACACTTACTGGTTCCGTTTCTATTTTTGTAAACTAATGGTACGTAAATTTTGTGACATGTTAAATAGCTCCAAAGTATCGAAGAGTTAATTTGTCAATACTCAAGTTAAAATTCGGCAGGGGCATATGTTCATCTATAAAGTAGGATACAGAATAAAATACATAGGAGGTTCATTTCTGATTTAAGTACGCTAAAAAGACCTTCGGCGAAAAACGGCATTCGGTTCTTTCAAAAGCAACAGAAGTCGGACCAGATCAGTTTCCAGCAATCCGAACAGCTCAAAATCGTTAATTCCCATCCCAAATTCTACCTAGCTAGCCTATAAGCATATCATATATTATCTTATGGCATCTTTGATCTCTGCTTGTAATACTGGGCCCGAGTAACTGTCGCCATGCTATCTGTGTGCAAATATTACCCAGGCGCGTCCGGCCACTCCTACCTATTAGCACCGGGGTTGTATTCCGCTATCTTAGGATGGAAATAGCCTTGATTTTAAAAGCTCCATGCGATAGTTAATTCGCAAATGGGTATATTATAAATAAATTATTTCGACTATTTTTTTGCACATTTGGTTCGATGGTAGACGATGAGAATAACTTTTTCTTTTTAAAGCCGACTTTGTGCCTATTCTGTAAGTCAACTTTTAGATCAAATTGTTACTGCGCCTGATGCTCAACCGCACAGCCTTGAACGATTACTTCTAAGCTTACACTCAAGTCGTTGCAGAAGGTTTTGCGTATTTTTCAGCACAAAATTTACCGTAGTGTTCGTTATAGTGATTTACTGGGGAATAAAATTTATGCTTGAAAATTATTTTTTGAAAAAAACATCTTTATAGACTTTCTCCAGACAATTGGCATGGCATATTTATTGGCTTGGGGGATATGAAATACTTAAATACAAGGAGATATGTGCGACTAACTCAACGTCACTTCATCCCATTCTCTCACTGGTTGACTGCCTCCTCCTATAAAGGTTTCAGGAACACAGCTGTCCGGTGACGTTTCTTCGGGAGCTGCCCAAAATTCAGGCCGTATATCCGGTCTTCCTTCTTGTTGCCTAGCAGAAATATCCTAGAAGTAGCAAAATCCAACATACATATAATATCAATACAAACAAATTAATCACATTTATGTAAACCACTCCAGACGTCTATCTGGAATCTCGAAAGGGCATCACTAGTTGAGGAATAACAGAAACGAGACTGCAGGTTTTATAGGCTGCAGCATACATTAAACGTAACTGATGTATTCAATTGCTGTCTTTAATTGATTCGTTTCATATTTAATGCAACGGAAGAGCGACGGGTAGACAGAAGACTGACTGGCATTTTACCTGGAAAATTGAATCTTGATATCCGCCTTGAACCGATACAGACGATGAAGGAACAGAATCATCTTTTCCGCTGGCATCGTCCACGTACTCTGCCTCAGGGCTCATTCTGATCGGGGCCGTTGGCCGACTTGGCCTGCTTCGGCCAAAAATGTTTACAGAGCTCACACGGAATTGATAAACGCTCCCCTCTTTTAGGCCGCATACGTTGTAACTTAAAGCCTGAGTAGTACCGCACTTCTCCCACAATGATTCGCCGTCCTAAAACAAATTAATGTTGCTACTATAATTGGTAATTTTTCTAGATTTCATTATTATTATTATATTGGGCGAAGCTGTCGGCATCTGGCCGAAACCTTTCAGCCGAAATGTTCAATGACCCGCTTTCAAGCAGCCTCTCACATTTGAGTGTTTCTAAAGTTTAGCAATATGTCGCCTTCCACCCCATAGGTCAAGTTTATCAGCGACTATGTAATAGTCGATACTTACTAACGTCATCTAGACACGAAAAAGAAAAACAATTGTTTCAGACCTTCTAGAATTTTGACCTTTAATATTGTTTTATAATTTGTAGTTTATCAAAATTATAAAAGCTTCACTTACTAATATTAGAAAATTATTTATAGATTTTCCTCGAATCTTAGTACATAAGATACTTATCGATCTCAGCATAAAAGTGAGAACAGTGATCTATTCTCACGACATTTAAACGGCTTATTTTTGCGTCTGCCAGTTATTGTCACTGTTTAAATTGGCAGTTTTCCAACTTACACTGAGTTGTTCGATAACATAGCTGGTAATAGGGCTTCCACCATCGTCACTTGGGCTTTGCCATCTGATCACGCAGCTGACATCGTCAAAATCACTTAGATGAAGCTTCACTGGTGGATCAGGTTCACCTAATAGAGACCCGGAAATAGAGATGATCAAAAACAGGCACATAACAGATTTCCAGTGAAGGACTATACTAAAACTAGATTTGAGGCTGTCCGTATTCATATGTGCTATGATGATCAAGAAAGCGTATCCTAAATAGGGCCATAACAGAGCTTCGTCCGATCTGTCAAATTGTACCATTCCTAAGTAAAATAACTGTAAAAATTCAGAGCTCTATATAGCGGTTATACCGAACAGCACAATTAGCGGCTTTGAGGGTCAATCCGTTCTTTTCTGACGCGCTTACAAACCAGTCAACAGCATGATGCGATAAATAACTGCCCAGTCGAACGGCATAGAAATGGCGACGCGAACCTGGAACCTATCGCCTTTAGGTTCAAAGCAACAAGATCAGTTTATACCTGTACAAATATCAGAGGCACAACCTGTATTTCACAGACCACATGTGAAGGGGTGATACAACACACTCCTTGTGACCACTTATAATCCTGGAATGGATGTTGTGCATTGCCAAGGAGAAAAAAACCTAACTTAGTTTGCCATATTTAGGTAATAAAATAGCTTGCAATATTAAATGAGAAGTGCTCGGTACCTTTCGGGAAGTTTGACTACGATGTGATTTAAACTTAAAAAAATACGAGTGCCGGTTATTTATTTAAATACACATAGATTCAAAAATAACAAAGTATGTATATGTTATTTGAGATAAACATTGCATAAAACCAGCATTAGCCATGACAAAGCGGCATCCAGCATCTTGATCGATGCTACTCCATCGCTTTCTCTGGTCTCGAATGAAGTCCAAATTGCATGCTAAGTAGCAAACTTTTAAGCATCTTTCCTGCAGAGTAGGCTGCACTTTTATTATAGGTCGTATCAAAATTAAGCTCAATGTTGCCATTAGGGCAATATCAAATGTCCAAGGCACTCTCTTCAACCGTTTACCAGAACCGGTGCCAAAGTGGTTAGGCCAATGCTATAGGCTGTTGCGCTGTTCATGAACATCACTAACTTGACCAGCTATTTCTCATGAAGCCATACGGTGCGATGGCAAAACAGCCGCAACGCAGTTCCCTCTCAAATGGGGGATAGTTTCAGTGGCCTGCCGGGTTCAGCCACATAGCTAAATGCGTACGCGTATTGTATGTGAATATTCTTATGAACGGAACCGCAGAGCGTTCATGTGAAGATAGAGGTAAAAGGCAGCCTACAACCTAAGTTTAGCGGATCAAAATTGGCACCAGTCCGTATCTCAGTATTACCAATCATTGGCCGTTGCTTGATAGCAAACCACACTCCACTAGGAGTCCTATAGACTACTATAAGAAATATAGTCTTCGCATATGGAAAATAGAAACGCATACGGAAATATATATTAATAGCATACATCTAATTATAATAATAATATGTCCAGCAAGGCTTCCTATATAAGAAAGACGCCGTTACATTGCAGTACTTACTATGATTTTAAACATGCTAACTGATGTTACTGCACTCACCAGTCACTGTGACAAGAACGTCGACCTGCGCGGAACCATACTGGTTGTCGATCTTGAGCGAATAGACCCCCTGAAAATCGGAATAGGTCTTTGTATTAGCTGACCCACAATACATTCGTGCTGTTCACCGACTATACAAAATAGACGTTAAGGCATTTTGATAGAAAATTACAATTCACAAAGAGACTATATCAACCACGCGTTGATGTGAATTGAACAAACCGACCGATTTAACCGTAATAAGTCGTAGGGGGGTAATTGATATACATAAGATCACCGCTAACTTTGACGATCGGCAACGCCATGATGATGTTTAAGGGAACTAAACTGCCGAGTGTTCCAGAAATGTTGGGTAACTCCACTTACTTTATTATACTATAAATATACTATAAAATCCGCTACGAACATAGAAATAACTTACAAAGATTCAGAAAATTCACATAGCCCTAAAGTTTGGACGGTTACGCGTCAGATTTCGGTTGAATGGATCCATACAAATATCATATAGAATTCGAATTTCCTCACAGCGAATTGCTTACGATATACCCTATATAGGACTCATTATTTAGTTCATTGCTATTCTATGTTTCCTGGAGGTATGGTCTATGTTTACCTGGAGGTTTCTATCGACTTCTTCAATTTCCAGCAGCGCGTTTCCACAGTCGAAACAAGCTGTCACTCCCTCACGGCTGAGGTCGAAGGGTGCACCATTGTGAAGCCAGATGGCTGTTGGCTTCGGACTACCCACGTAAGGCAACTTGATACTATTGAATGTAAACCGTTATAAAAGACTATGATTATGGGAATGCTTCAACAAGCTAAAACGATAAAGTTTATTGTGTCAAAATAAATGGAAAAGTTCCAGCCATCTATCTCTAGCTTATTTAACGAAGTCAAATTTCGAAACTCTACGTTACATGCTGCAGTTGTACTCCACCCAAAATAAGCATTACCTGTTTATCCTATTAAAATCAAAGAAGGAACCGTTGATCTGGTCGCACAACGTACACCCATCAATACAGATACTGGCACAAAGAGGACTAATATTATATTTTTTCTCTCACATATGCACTCACGCGTCTCGCATTAAACCATTTCAATAAAAGCTATACATCTTTTACCCGCAAGACGTTTTCACCTCGATATTTACGCGTCTTGTTGCCATATATCCGTCACCTACTCTTCTAAGTTCTCTGGATTTCCTTAGTACAGCACATTATTTTGACCTCCCGACGACAACCATTTTGCCGAAAAACATAGCAGATTTAACGTTGGTTACAATGGCGAAACGCCGATTAAGCTTATTTCGATCTAACGTTCGAACTTCTTCCGCTAGCCACAAGTCATGCTAACAGAAGCAACGCATCTGATCGAGCAGGGAAAAGGCACCAAACGATATCAATAGCGTTGATAGTTCGAAATTCTGCAATACCTCGCACGCACGCACGGACAGACAGACAGCCAGCCAGCCAGCTGCAACAGGACGGCTACAACAACCTGAAAATTTACGCACAGAACTCTTGACCACCACAGTTTTCCGCTCGTATGTTTAAGTTATTGCCATCGAATTGGTTTTGTAGCTGCGATTGAATCGCTGACGTTCAGCTGCCTCGGTGCACTCCAACAACAGGCTAACGGCGTTCTTATGAAGTATTGTAGTTCGACGTTTATGGGTGTACATCGTTGTGTATAAACGTGTTTGTGTGTGGGTCTCCGTGTATGCGTGAACCATGGCAGGAAGAAGTAGGTCTCGAGCAAATTTGTCGACTCTCTGTGCTTTGGCCGAAACAGTTGCAGCTACTTTAGCGTTTAGTGATACAGGTTGTGATGTTACAGACAGCATTTACTGCCTCTCCAGTACCCACCTTAGCGGGTCGCCGGCATCGAAGCAAAGGCCCTGCGAGTAGCGGGCTACAGGCAGAATCTCCGGCCGGGCTGCAAGTAACAAATATATAGAACACACACATGAATACATACGATATGAGCCAATGGGAACACAAGCAGCAACAAGAAACACAGCATATACGGGGGTCGTACGGCAGCATACAACAACGACAGAGAAAAGCACGTTTTCTTCTGCGCGATGGCGAAACTGTGTACTCAAACAGATCAGAGGTAGGTTTAATGATCAGTCTATACCGTAATGCAACGCGAGCTTTTCTACGACAACTTAGAGTTACGTGGGGGGGCAAATAAAATTAAGCACAGCGAGAGAACTGAACGGAAATGCTTTGTAAGGGCAAGTGGTCGTCAAAAATCTCCCACATTGCTTGTCGTGAATATAACAGCCTGATGTGAATAGATGAACACATCGATCATCGGATCATGAAATGGGGTGATTTCATAGAAAAAGCTTTTTCAAGAATTCAGTACCTGAGTTGGCCATGCAATTTAAATAACTATAATAAAAATTAAAGCGACAAAAAAAATAACTTCTGGTAAACTTCGAATAACTCTAAGCCAACAACTTTAAGAAACGGATATGAGTTTTGCTCTATTAACACCCAGACACGATCTGGTCATACCAGTGACTGGGCCTTGGAGAGCCCCAAACAAGATGAAGAAACAAATGAACTTGCGCGATCTGCAAGCTTCATAATAATTACACTGCTGCCCATGATTCCTGTTCCACATAATTTCCAGTCTGCTGTATATCTTTTGCACGCTGTATATCATCATCATCAGTATGAATGATGTATAAGACACGGTAATTGGTGAAGTTCGGTTTGTCGTCTATTTTTCACCGCGGACGAGTTCGGCCTTTGCGTCGGTATCAGAATAATGACTAGCGTGACTGTGGCGCAGCTCTCACAGACGAGTACCCGGCGGCATGCGATGAAAGGGTGTGCATAACAGCGCACGCGAGAGAAAAAGGCAGATAGTTGGCCATGTTATGAGCTCACCAAGCATTGGCAAGCTAAACGACTGCAACTTATGCCTAGTTTCGTGCGAAGGGGTGACGTCAGTGGCGATGCGGGGTGAAGTAAAGTTGTTAAATACAAAAGCGAAATCGGCAGCTACGTTTGGCTGAAGTGCGCCTCAGGTGGGCTGACTTACGATTGGCAGGCTCTCGGTGTACGTGGAGGTCTAACGAACAATTAGACGGACAGAAGGAGAGAGAGGGGGAGAGGGGGGAGAAAAGGCTGAAAAATCGAGACGCGACAGCGAGGTCTGCTATTCCGAGATCAAGGAATAAGATAATGTCAATACGATAAGGTGGTGCGTCGTTTCGGGGCAAGGAAACTGAAAGATGACCGTGGCGAGGCGTAACGGGCATGAACCGAGACATCTTTATGGTTTGCTTAAGAGAATTTTCTATTCGACTAGAGAAAGCTCTTCTGGCATTATGGAAAGCCGCTACGCAGTCTGTCAGGTCTTTGAATCGACGAACTCTGGTTGCGCGCGTATATGTTTCGACTAGCAAGACTACCAACAAAGTGATAACACGCTGAGTGTCGGCTGTTATTAGCAGAATGGGTATCAACGGTCAGATGGAGAAAAATACAATCATTTGGTGGTGGTCTTTTATACTGACGCAAAACAGCCTGAAAGATAGCAGATTATCTCATGCATAGCGGATTGCATCTACGTAAAGTCAATTTACTATATGAGTGTTAAGAAAAAAGGCTACAGTTGGACTTAGGAACATGGTACATCTTCTGTTTGGTACATGCTCACCCGTATGCATATCCATCTAGTTCATAGATCATAAAACTAAGTATAGTTTTTAGCTCAAGGTGATTTTTGTAAAGGTTGAAACTTCGCAGCGTCTCTCTCCACATCCGTGGCATTAGTTACTACGACCTTCGCAAGTATAATTATTTTGCATCAAATGTATTACAGAATTGATTTTGAAAGCAAATTTTCGTCTAGATCATAACTTGGAATCTGTCATCCTACCTAGCCACTAATGAGTGGCTAAAGACAACAAGGGGCGTCCTAAAAATCCAATAATTACCGGCATATAGCGTTGATTCGTTTTACGTCGTAGACTTTATCAATTGTAATATGCTATAATTAGCAATGAAGTACATCAAATCAGCGCTACCACAGAGAATTTCCCGCGTTTCTCAGCTTCGAACGCGTATTAACTTACAATGACTACAACCGATTATCTGTTTGTTCTAGTAAACGTGCCCTACAGAGACATAGTTCGCTGGAAAAAGCTGACGGACAGTTGATTGTCACACGGACGCGACAAGGATATTAGAGAGTACGAGACAAACACCGCTCTTCAGGCTTCGATCCGAGTCACGCGAGCCAATGAATCAGGTATCGGTCTACACGTGATAGCGACCTTATGCCTGCTAGACCCGTACGTTGTATGCTAGGTAACGTGTGCGAGCCACGTGCGGGTCCGACCAGCTTTCGGATGTTATACGTCTGGTCTAGAATCGAGGATGCCAGGAAACGCTATCGGAGCACGTCAATATAGTTTGTGGTAAGGTTGTCAACGTTCAAGGCTGGTAATGTTTTTGTTTTCTTACGAAATTCAAACGATTTCAGGACAGACATTCCATAGTTACAAATGCTTACAGCTTAGACTAAATAGGTGATTTTTACTGTATGTCAAAAAAGGTTTCTTTAATGCCGATATGAGTATGTTAAGAATCATAATGGCTAATCGAATGTCCCTTACCACGTTTTCCAATATATATATATATATATATATATATATATGTATATATATATATGGATGGCGCCTATTGCTCGATGTGTTCGTAAGACAACGAATGCCTCTCAAGTCCTCAATGAAACAGTTTATCAGTACTTTTTGTGAAAAGTCAATTATCTTTAGGTAAAATAACGGCATTTTATAGCCCAGAAGATTGGGCCTTATAGGTAAGAGAGGTAGTCATGGTAAGTGTTTCGAAAGAATATTATTTTACGTACCATGTACCGATAATGTGGCCTTAGAGTGTGCATTTCCGGCGACGTTACTGGCCTGGCACGCAAGTCCACCCTCATCTTCCATCATGACCGGACTAATCCTTAGTGAACTAGCGCCCTCGACACTCAAAACTTCAAAGCGGCCCGAAGCTTCTAAGAGTGTTCCGTCCCTTGTCCTAAATACGACAATGTAACAACAATGGCAATATGAGCCGAAGCAAATTTGTACAGCAGTTTTTAATTTTATTACTTGATGTTTTTGTGTGGCAATATTTCTATCTGTGCGGGGCGTTTATTGCTAAAGTGTGTTTAGTATACGACATTGGGTTTAATCGACCAAAACGAATAAATCGGTGCAGGTGGTTAAATTTTTGGTTCTGTACTCTCTGATTAATGTATTGATCGGTTTTCCCTTAAGGTATGACATTTTGGACAAAATTGTTAGCAAAATTCTTTTATAAGTTTATGCCGGTATCACGTGCCCGTTTTGGTTAAGATTCCGTCTATCTTTAAATATGCTCTGTTGAGAAGCTGTCAAACTCACTGTGTGTCATATCATAAGACATGTCGTATAACTTGAGCTGTCAACTATCGTTTTACCCGCTTTGACCTATTTTCAACCTAGGATAGCGTTTTAAAATCGTCCACCGTGAACCGTTGTAGAATTCACTAAAACTGAACGGCTAGACGACGCGGATTCATCTCTATGCTTTATTTATCATATCTAGTTTTGGGAGAAAAATAGGTTTTTCTGAAGAAATCCAGCCATATATATTTATCCTAATAAGACAAACGTCTCTGAAGACAGAAATGGGTGTCGCTGCGTTAGCAGTCAATCAGTCAGAGCAGAAAAACACGCTCAAGATATCATCGACGCGGAGTAGAAAGATGGAAGTCCTGAATTAATACGAGTACCCTTCACAACAACTACGGTTCTGTCGTGGAAGAGAACTTATTTTAGTTAATGTACGGAAGTCTAATGGAATTGAAGAAACCGTAGCTCACGGATGTCTACGTTGGCTGAATGAAATCGTTCGTTAACAGGATATCCCAGAAACAAATCCATTGCAAAAAGTTCCCAAAAACGACTTTGGGTTGATTGGGAGTCATGCTGTACTCGATCTGGCAAAAATGACTGATTATACAGGTGACTAGTGAAGAGTACAGCGTAAGCTTTAAGGATTGACCCAAACACGATGGTAATATCGTTCAGTTTGCGAAGTGCCCTAAAAAAATACTAGGCTATTCTTAAATATTAAGCATTTAAGACCGCTCCATATATTTGATAATGTAAGAATGTTCCAATTTATCATGACCTTTTTTTGAATGCTTTTGAAATTATAAATCTGCCCTCGGCTCAGGAACAATATTTCAAAAGTCAATACCAAAGAGTATTTTACGATACTGTTATGAGCCCATTCTAATGAGATGAGCTCTTTTGATAGACCAAAACAGAGCATGTACACGTACGCAAGTATTACACAGAAAAACAGCGATCTATAATTAATTCGAAAAATAAAAATTATTAGCCGCTTGTAAATTTGATACTGATGAACTCGCAAAAAAGGCAAGTTCTAAATTTATCTATAGTTCAGATGAATCATACGATTAGTTACGAGAAACGACCACAATCAGCATTTCTAACATTTTGCTAAGAATCATGCAAAGCAAATAATTACGCACCATACGACCTCCGGACCTGGCTCGCCGTAGAATTCAACATCGAACTGGATAAGATCTCCCGCAAGGGCGGTCAGATCTTGAAGATCCTTTGTGAAGCCAGGCTCACGAATATTGCCCGCTAAAATACAAATGCTCATACGTAAGGTATTAGCCTGCTCTCCGACTCCGATATCGGCGCGTGTGGTTTATTTTAGAATTTCACAGATATTTCGAATAAAAATACCTAAGCATTGAAAGGTCAGATCCAGGCGTCTTGCAGTCGTTAGTATTAAAGCCTAGCTCTCGGATTTACAGACAATCCTACACATTCCAGCTACATGAATCTGAACTTTCCAAGTACCAAAAAATTTATCGTTTCTAGAATTAGACAAACTAGTAGACGAAGAAAGATTTTTTTTTTAGCATTAATCCAAATTCTGCATTTCATTTTGTGAGTGACATAACGCAGTTAATACCATACCGTATATGTGTATATTTTGATAGGATATGGAACTCTCACACAATGCTTATACAATTGTCGCCGTTTAAAGCGACTACATGTACATACAATGTTTCTACATGCGATTAGACATCTTCAAATTAGGCCTTTGTTAATATATCCGATTTGCTAGGTAAGATCTACATGACTATTAGCTGTCAGTGAGGATCTAGTCGTGTGCACTATCATCGGCGTTCACTTGCCAGTGACGGCGATCGGTTCCGAGATGCGTGAAGCCCTTCCTATTCCATGTTCGTTTTCGGCACTGACCCGAAAAACATACTCGATGCCCGGGAAGAGGCCGTCGCAGAGAAGCTTTGTGTCGCAAAAGTCTGCTGGTGGACTAACGAGTTGCCAGTCCTCTTCGTCCAGCCGAGAGCGCTCAACTAAGTAGCAGGTTACCTCGACTTCGACAGCGGGCCACGAGACCACAACTGAACGGGGTTTAGAGTTGCAAACTTCGACAGTGGGCGCGTCCGGTTGGGGCGGGCGTACTACAATAAAAGAAAATGACCATAAATAAAATACGAACAGATAATGCCGTAGCCAATCCGCAGAACTCATACGTTCCAGCGTACCTTAATCTTGTGATACATACATATGGATATACCGTGTCAACATCAAATGACTACGATGTCATTCAGTAATTCAGGTATATATATTATCAGGAGAAGTTCTGCATCATCAGCTGCAGAAAAGTCGTATCAGCCATTGTTCATATAATTCTTATATCAAGATTCTTGTGAATCAGCAGGACTTTATTACTAGCATAAAAAGCAGAGACATTTTATTTTATTTATAGTAAAACCGAGAAAAGGTGGGAGGTTTGCCTCAAGCAAATTAGTAGCGTATATAATCCCCATTTTTACAATGGATCCAGCTTTCAGACGCGGCTCTGTCAAAAGCTAAATAAAGTCTTTAAATCTATAAAACCAACTCTATTATATACAGACGCCTTCAGCTCAATAAAGATCGCTCTTTGCGACTTTGCTTTGTATTGTAGATAAATCAATTCCAGTTTTCTCTAGGCAAAGTTCGGAACAACGTTCAAGCTTTTAAGTTCAGTAATGGATCCTGCAAGACGCTCTGCCATTATTGTTGGTCTACTGGCATGTATGTACGAGTTTTGGTGTATTTGAAAAAAAAATACTATTTTTTGTGTGTTTGTACGCTGCTTTGTGTTCTATAATGTAAGACTTTAAGAAAACGTTTCGGCATTCAACACACTGGAAGCAGTTTTCGCTCGCGTGGGTATCTTTCCAACAAGCGCTTCTCCCACTCCAGCCTCATTGACGGCGTACACACGGAAACAATAGTAATGGCCCTGCGTCAAGCCATTGACGATCAAAAACGTCTCAGGACCGTCGGTCTCATGATGACTCTTCACGACCTAAAAAGGTTGACAAAGTAAAAACTGTAAACAAAGCAATTGACGGAAGAGAATCCAAAGGTTTTTTCCATCAATTACTCCTCCGAGGGTTTAAGGTTAACCTAGCAAGTCAGCACCAAGGTATTCATAAAATAATTATAGATAATTTTCTTTCTCTATTTACACAAGCTGTGTGGCGTTGGCGGGACTTAAAGAAGCGACTTCTGGTCCCTTTCAATCAGAGGCTTGGCTATACATAATTATATACGTTTGGCTGAACGTACGTCCGCCTCGAGTATTTCTCTTTGTTCAATAATATACGCCTCAATTGGTCCACCGCCATCTTCTAAAGGCGTTTTCCATGAAACCATCATTGATGTCGCAGATATGTTCTTGACATTGACAGGGCCTCGGGGTGCGCTGGGTGGAACGACCACTCCTGAACAAACGGGCACATTAAATTGGGAAGGTTATTGACGCGCATATTTTATTCAGCAATATGACTTTTAATATGTATAGCAACTCTGTCGATTGTTGTTAAATGTTCAACGTCCGCTCCTGGAGGTATCAAATTTAGCGTATCCATTCCCACGTTAGGTAAGTTTTTACATTTCTTGATTGCTTTAGTTAAAATACCTTTAGGGCGTATGATAGCAATAGGCGACTCGAGAAGAAGTGGGGGGCTAACACCAAGTTCGTTAATTGCTGCAACCCGTACGAGATACTCGTGGCCTTCTAAAAGGTCCCGCGCGGTAAAGATGCATACGTCAGCTTCCACGTTGCCAACCTATGATCAAATAAAATTATATCTTAACCATATTTTAATCGGTCGATTACTTGATATTCATTATATTTCGTAAACAATAACTAAAATCGTCTTCGATACATAAAGGAAACCTTTCTTTGCTTTGCTGAAGTGTCATAATCTCTGAAAAACTTACTTCAATCCATATTCTTCGTGTGACTTCCCGTATCCAAATGGCGTATCCTTGAAGTGGAGCTCCTCCATCATTCTCGCAGGGTCCCCATTCAACGTACATCGATGAAGGCCCAGTGACCGTAGGAACAAGTGGGCCTCGAGGTGCATTCGGTTTTCGAGTTCCAGTTTTTAAGTTAACTAGACTAGCAGTTTTTAGGGCCACAAGCGAACTTCCTGCGCGGTTTTCCGAGTGAACCTATTTAAGTAAAACTGCTTAGACAAACGAAGCTATGGCCAGCTCGTGAGAACGTTTTGATGAAGTTTCGGCGGAAGAAATGACTCTACTTTTTTGCTTGTGGGCAGCGCTAACTAATGCCGCCTCAGTTGTCTTTCGATAAACTCCAATGACAAAATTTTGTCTTTACTTAAGTGACATAGCTCCTTAACACAAATATGTAATAAGTAGGTTCGCTTCCTTTAGTGAAGCGTTTCATGTACCTTGAAACTGTATCTGTAGTGGTTATCCAGGTTCTGTATGGTGCACTCCTGAATGTCTCCTTCGACGGTCATTATTCTACCCCATTGATCTGTATCCTGACGCCGTTTCCATATGGAATAGCCTTCGACGGGACCCGAGATCGGCTGACGCCACGAAAGTGAACACGACCGACTCGTCGTGCAGGTTATGTGAAGTGGGCCCTCAGGTGGATCTGGCAGGTCTGTGCAATTTAAAATCAATTTGAATTGACTGGAGAATTTGGTCTCTGATTTTTCGAACATGTTAGATTCGATGCAACCAAATCGAGCGCACTTGAAATGTCTCCTTTAGGGTGAAAGCCATTCCCAGTCATCAACGATTCTGAGTGCGATTGAGATCTATTTGTCACACGAATTTTTTTTAGATAAAAATGTCCACAAACATTTTTTTGCAGCTTTCAGCATACGTCAATAGAAGACAGCTACTAGCTCAGAATAAATATGAATAGTAAGAATTTAGATAAATATCCTACATAAAGCGCAGTAAATGTATCTGTTAATGAGGTTCCTACTTCCCAATCACACGTCACTCACCAATAAGGCATTTAGTGAAAACCTTTACTTTCGATGATGGTTCGCTGATGCCATTGTCATTCAGAGCTAGCACTCTGTAGAAGTATTCGCTGTTTTCAAGAATATCTCCATCAACAAATGATAGCTGCCCGGGATCGATGTACCCGACCTCCTGGAACACACCGTTCTCCTCAGTACACCTGCATAAACGGAAAAATAAAATGATAACGTTAACTGCAGCAGCAATGGCAGAACTCCTTTATCGTTCAGCAAGAATAGTGGTAAAATGGTCAGCAAAATGGATTCACTGAACGTATTCGAAAAGTTAATATTTTAAATAAATACATCATTCATAGGACAAGCTAAAAAAGGCTTCTCCAGGTCCCGTCTTTTATTAACCTCTTCTTCAGGCTCATTTAATTCCAGATTGTTTCCTCTAATCCACAGGATATGCGATGACAAAAGTGGCTTTCGTTTCGTAAAGCCTACTGGATCTGGTTTTTCCGAGAACTATACTATTATTATTGCTCTGAAAACCGGTCTGGCTAGTGACGATACCATTTTATCGCGCTCACATTTTCCGGAAAAACGTAATGGGTTCGACAAGACCACAGGCTCCAGATCATAGCACATGTGTGCCTTGTCCCTTATATCCTTGCATGAGTTCGACCCGCATATTTACATGGACAACTAGCCCCTACAGAGAAGGGAGTTCTTGAAGATTTCACGAGTTCCACCCTGTACTTAGTGATGGAACTCGTGGGACCTTCAAGAACACGCAAACTAAGAATCACTTACGAGGAGTCGCTTTCAAGCGTCTAAAACGAATACATTTGAAGAGTTGAGTGCTTATTCACATGGTTCCCTCGACGGGTCCGTTTCAGGGTTAAAATCTAAAATATCTTTTTTGAGCGCGTTGGTCTCAGGCCGATTTTCCTAAGGCTTCAGATTTGAAAGACAAGCAATGGTTTGAATTATAGCCGAATCCAAGAATCGTTTGCCTAGGTGGATGAACATCACCTCTGAGAGGCTGATATTATAGTAGCTACAGCCTTTACTAGAATACATGTAACAAAGTCCGGTTGTGATTGCATACCATAGCTTTACGAACTATAGTAAAAAGAAATGTATCTCGTAAACCTTGTTTTAACGAGGTGCACTCTAGACTATTACGGTAAATAAGATCTTTCATTCTAATGATTCTAAACAAGTTTGGCCTTGTAGCCACAAGGCTGATTTCGACGTTTATGATTATTTTTTCTAATGATGATTTCTACTAATAAGTAATTAGCAACAAGCATCACTATGTTGGTACCGTAGTCTCGTGGTTTATCCAATTTATGGTATATCAGCGACTCGAACAAAAAGGTACATACAATTCATACATGAAAAACTCCACTCTGGACTATTCGAGTCCGCATTATTTGTTCCCCTCGCGTCGCGCTTTTATTGCTTTAAGAATAAAGTGGCGTGATTAAGCACGTGTTCATATTAGAGCGCCGCTAGCGTCCTTAACTGTCAAGATTAAACGACAAAAACAACGCAAAGGGTCGCTTCGTCGAGGTTGGCCATTTTGCGTAGGTCGGTATCGTAATATTTTGTACTTTTCCACAGTGTACAAAATATGTTGCTAGAAAATCCTGCTCAGGTCTAATTTCTATATGCGTTCATTGTAGATGCACTCTGATGGGCCGGAGACAAAATCGACGTGGAACAGATTTACACGCGAGGGCCACCGTCTAAATCAAAGTACGTGCCTCTTGTCCTGAAGGAAATCTTCGTCCTTGCTGATTGTGCATTTAATATAATAAGCCTATACGCTCAAGACGGCTACTCAAACTTTCTTAGTTGTGTAAAAAGCACTGAGCAAAGTATCGATGCATACCACACTTGCGATGCTAGTAAAAAGGAAGTTTCCTTCTGTTAATGCATTGAGCGCAAGAGTACTACATATGTGGGTAGCGTTGTTAATCATGTAAACCCAGACAGAGACTCAATGTAAATGATAATTTCATGTAAATTTCGAATCGACTCAAAGGTTATCGTACCGATTTATTAGTTGAGATTGTCCGCCTTCTAAACTTTGAGTAGTTAAGATACGTACCTTTCGACCAGATATGAGTTGATCTTCGACCCGCCATAGTCCTGCGGACTCTCCCATCGCAGGCGAACTAGGTCAGCCTCAAAATCGTACTCCCCTACAAGATCATCAGGAGGTCCTGGTGCCGCATCCGAACTGGCCGGTATGTACATTATGTTCAGTCGGGTGTTCTCGCGGGTCGTCCAGTAATTGCACACATACGATCAACGCTTCCTCTAAAATGGCCAAATTAGCTGTCACTAGTTCTATAAAGTGGCATTTTAGCAGTAGTCGATAAAAACACTTCTGTCCTTAGCAGCTGTTTCCTAATATATATCACAACTACATGATTGTTGTATTAAAAACTGAGTAACAATAATGACATTTTCACTAATAGGATGATGCCTCTCGCCACTATCATCGTCATCATCATAGGTGATCTACAGAGCAATTGACTGTCCAAAAAAAAAAGCCCAAAACCGACGATTATCAAACTATTGTATGAATTGTACAGCTGACTACTATGTGTGAGATCCTATTAGCATAGTGTAAAATAAGGCATTTTCCGAGAGTCATTGTTTCTCCTGAAATGTTTCTGCGAAGTTCTAGAGTCCAGCAAAAGCGGGGGCTTACAAATGGATTGACTCTGTCACCGATACAACTTTTTCTATATCAGTACATCTCTTAAATGTTTTCCGCTGAAGTAAGTAGTTCTTGATAATTCAGTATGTAGGTCAATTTGAGCAGATCTAAGCTTACTGATCAGACTCGTCCTGTCCATGAGCGCTTCTTTTGCATAACATGTACCCAGATCATTAACTTTCGTTTATATATGCAGCTTTATAAATAATATGATTGGGCTCACATTTTATATTTTCCACATAAGAGATACAAATACGGTACGCTATGGGCATTCAACACCCGCAGGGCTGTATAGAACTGAAATAAACACGATCTGTTGTCGTCTGACAACTTGAACGTGTCAACCAAAATCAGTTAAAGTAACTTTAGCTTTGCAAAGACATAATGGAACTTCTAACCAAACGTATGCAATGAACCTGATACCTTTAACAAAGTATTTACAATTCTCTACAGGAAATTGTCGTGTGTTTTTTGCCTCTGTAAATCTATTCGAAAACAAAAGATACCTATCGAAAGAACCAGTGATCATTGTTCTTCACTGCCGCCAAAGATGACTCAATGCAATCGTTCTACTTAAAAGTCTAGTAAAGTCTGAATGCAGAGGTACCCGCGATAAACAGCGGCCAATTGGAAAATATTTAAAAACAATGCAGGAGAGCAAAATCCACCAGACGTGGACAACACGACCCTATTCAACCGTATAAATAAGGTCTAATTAACTGAATACTAATCTATCATGTTGAGCTATATAAGCTTCGGACATTAATCCGGCCACTTGTATTATAAATAAAAATACAATACCGAATTTCGAATACATGTCTAATTTTCTTTCTTTAAATTAAGTTGCTTGTTTCAATTTTATATCTATTTTCTACAGGTATCATAATTAGCATTAGGTGAGAAACCGCGCCGATAAGTCGACATGACCTCACATTTGTCATTCAGAAAAAAAGGGTCTGTAATTGTCAGTCTATAGCACCAAGAAGTACCGCAGCATTTGTATACACAAGAAGCTCGTACATTATTCGGTATTTAATGCCTGCTTCTAAACTCTTACCTCGACTTAACTCCTGCAAGTTCTTTATGCACCGGACCACCGTTGTCTTCATATAGCTGATAATGAGTGCGTCCACAGAACACTAAATGGTTCAGCTAAACCAAAGACTACTCGTATTTTCTAGCTCTGTTTTCGTCCGAATTTTCGGTTATATTTAATATGAACGCCGGAGTACACGGTTATGCACAGATATACACTGAGGAGCACAGTAAGGTTATGTTTTCATCGTATGTTCATAATGTTTTTTCATGGTTCACCATCACGAACTCTTTCAACTGTAAGACCTACCCAGGCCAACACGGTTTGTGGGTCAGCTGTTGTTCCAGCTAGCCAAAAAACACCCGCTCATTGCTCGCATCTACGGAATATGTTCATAGATACTCGCGCAGTGCAAAGCTCATGAACAGGCCATGCCGGTTTGCAGCTCAGCCGAGCGGAGACCGGGTCCACCAGCTGGCCCGCTGTCGCCGCTGGAACAAAACCTAGGACACGACTTCCATCGGGTAACGACACGAGAGCAATAACGGCGGCCTGGTCGCGCACCTCTTATGTGTGAGTAACCGACCCGTGTTAACACAAAACCCTTCTGACTGGCCACCTTTCTTAGCCACCGGACGGTATCTCTATTGCAGCTCTAATAGGCTAATCTCAGCTAGCCTAAGCCAGAGCGCAGCGCAAGCCAAACCGCTCGCGCGGACTCCGGCTTGTTTGCCTGTTGTTGTCCTGCTGGGCCCGCGAATCACGGTGATGGTGTAGGGATGGCTCGTGGTGCCATCGGCTCTGCGCCGAAGACAGCTTTTGGACCTGGCAGCTTCTAGTTGTTGTTATTGCCAGGCTCAACAATAGCGCCAGCGTATAGTCTTGATTATAAACTGTTACAGTAATTGAGCACGGTAGTAGCCTGCAGATGCCGTCGAGTTCGCGATGTCCCTTTGAAGTTATAGACTTGATGGTGGTTGGCGGGTTTCGCGGACCGAGGTACTTTCAACGATCAAAAGCCGGTGTCGTCTTGCAGGTCCCTTATCGCGACTAACATTGTTGTTCTCGTGTCACCGCATGCTAATCATTTTAGTGAACGTGCTCCTTTGGCCAGATAGAACCACAGCCACAGAGAGGACGTTGAGCCGAACTCGTTAAGCCCATGGTCCCTATAGTGTCTCACGAGTTTTGTTCTACCGGTAGACCAGCTAAACATCGTTGAGCTTTCCTTCCTCCCGTCGACCCTTCTTCACAAGCCACTGTCAGTGACACGGTCCGTATGTTCGTGGCGCTGCTGGTACCGCATCGTCATGGCATTTCATGCACCACTTCGCTATTGAGTTCCGGGTGCGAGACAGAGGTTTAGTGAGTCAGCTCACTTTGTCAATCGAACGCTGAGTTCGCACGCAGAGCTACGACCTGCTGCTATCTGTTACTGTCTGGCAAATCCGCTAACCTTTGACGAAAAGGACAAGCGGCGCTATGAGGTCTTACTCACTTCAGCGTTTTGCTGCCAAGGAGAGAGACCCCGCATCCTCCTCCTACCAGTGCGAACCATGAAAAACAAAAACCGGAGCTAGGCAGGCAATCGAACGGCGAGAATAAGCTTGAGAGGTAGCGATTTGACGAGAGCGATTGGTTCGGTGTGCATGTTCTTGCGTAAATTTACAAATAATATATCGCATCGCATAAGTTACTACATCAACTTTTAGCCACCCACCTTGTGTTCATTTCTCTCCATTTATCGCAGTGGCAATATCTTCCCCTATTTACTTTCATGTCAGTGCATCCGACTGTGTAGGTGTTACCTGTAATCCACTAAATTTCCCGTTTTTGGGAAAACGCAAGTAAGCACAGGAAGTACGCGAGCGGAATATGACTTAACGAAGTGAACAAGGATGCGTCCAGACGAAACCTGTTGAAGTCGTAACGTCCATACTTGCCACAAGAGCTACCTATTGCCGTTGGAATACGCTGATATTATGTCATCAAGAGGTATAACTCAGCTTCTATCAAGAGATGGCAACTGAGAGCAGTGGCAAGATCTATTCATTACTGATAAATAGCATATGCTAGTAGAATATATACTTTAACCCGTCCATTTATTACTTTTAGTATTGTTGACGAAATGTATTGCACCATAACGTAAATTGTCAGACGTAATGTATAATACGAGGAGTTAATTTGACTATATAGGAGACAATGGGCCATCTCTACTCCTTAGCGAAACCTTACATAGTGCTTTACCGCAGCTGCTGACCACAAATTCGTATTTAAACGCGTACTCAGACCGGTTTTTCCAATACGCAAGTGGCAACATCGCGATGCAGACGTGCTTCATCCGAAAATTCTAATTGCAGGTATCTGCTGCTTCATTTATATATAGTTCGCTCGGTAAGGCGAAATCTTGCGAGCGCGAAAAAAAATGACATCTCTCTTACCCAGTATCTAAGCCTGAGATTCCATGTCTCATTTTCAAAGCTGACCGAAATTATAGAAACTCAATGAGTAGTACTTAATCCTAGAAATAAAATCACAAATTAAAAGGTTCGTTAGCTAATGTCTTGGTTAAACCTTATGCTATTGAAATAGAAATGGAAAATATATGCAGATACCTATTTACTGTTTTACCGTTCGTATAAAGTCACGAACAGCCAAATCATCCTGTGCTAACTAACTTCTACGCTAACCTTATCGAAATTTACGTTAAGTATCAATCTCGATACACCGGTTTCTTTCAAAAGCTCCCATATAGATATTTTTCAGCTCAGTTTTTCTTGTTATTTAGATTCATGCAACTAAGCTACGTACGTAATGATCAGTGAACACTTCGGAGTTTTCCGCCATAATTGTTTACTCCTCCGTCCAACGTTCCTAATTCGATTTCTAGCATTGGAGATGCAAGGGTCAGGGCTATCTATCTTTATCATCTATGTAAATGCTTCGCTTTGATTTACTGAGAATTTTAAGAACGTCGGACGTTTTTTTGATTGTTGCTAGCTGTTACAGAACAATTCTGCAGTATTGCCTTCTGTGTATGAAGCCCATGGGTGTGACCGTGATCTGGCTGACGTGGAAACATATTATGACTTACGTAAGCTCGCAGTAATGTTGGTGAAAATGTAATGTAAATGTTGGAAAAAATGTAAATGCCCTACTGAAATACAACGAAATTCTAGTGAGGCTCTGTGGGCCATCGCCGTTTCGTCCGCTTCACCATCTCAGTGTTTTGGGCTGACACCTAGAAAAACATTTAATGTCTGGGTCAGCGAATAGTAAGATCCAGTGCTTGGGTGGGTCTTCGGGTCTGTGCTCTATGATTTTGAGAAAGTGTACCTTATTAAATGACGACGACAGTGATGGTAATATTTATTACGGTTCCCATTTGTTGTAAGCACTAAAACCTTTCAGGGCCTTTACTTTCTGATAGGCTACAATGCCTGCGATACCAGATACCAATTTATAGCATGTAACACAACGACACGGTGGGTCGAAGTTAGGAACGAACTTCCATCTAAAATAATTAGGGAGTTTCAGCTACGTTACTGCACGCTTTATTCAAGGTACACGTTCATCAAGATTTGCACGCAATTTCAGAATTACTTTCTAGGGATATATATCACTTATAACCGGTCTTTCTACGTAGTTTCGATAACACGGCGACGTCCTTTTCCGGTACAATCCAAATAGCCACCCTTGTAGAGCTTTGTCTTAAAATTCGCAATTGAAATACGTCCGTTCAGTACGAAGCACTGAACGTTGCCTTGTCCCAACTCGATACGGGTACGTTGCTGTCCTACATACAAGGGAAGCAAATGAGAGAAACTAATTGACTTACATAAAATACAAATTGTATTTTTCGCCTTGAATGGTATTGTATCTTTATTTGATCTAACCAATTCATCTAAATAAGGAAAATATGTCCACGTACAATGAAGTAGGAACTTATCTGTAGCCATTGCGACATGTAAACTAAGAAAAATAAAACGGTAAAAAGGATTTGGGACATCAGTGTGTGCGGTTCGGGTTTTTACGATAGGTTTCATCTGATGTTCTGGTCGTTCTTAACTAGACAGAAGAGCTTCAAAGTATTGAATCAAGCACAGTGTCGCCATGCAGAATCCTAAACGTACTCCACTTGTTCGTATATAAAATCGCATTGCCCCCTTAGTCTATTTTCTTCTTTGCCTGTCAGATGTCGCAGCCCGCCAGAGCCGACGCCAAAGTTGTCACTCAGCTACTTGTTAATCCTGTGTGTATTCTTGTAAATCTATAAAGCGGTGCACGAGCGCCTCGTTCGAGCTCAGTAAAGCTGAATGGTCTAATTATAACTGTCGCCTAATTCGCGCTGCGCCCACAGCGGTGGGTGCATCAAGGTTTGCTGACAGAACACGTCCTAAAAACAAGGCATGCGCACTCACTGTCAAGAATATCATCACGTCAATCGTAAATGTTAAAGAAACAATTGAATGAATAACACATAATGATAGACTATCGTTTTCTATTCTGTTATGGCTATTATAGACTGACTTTAATCGCCTACTACACTATAGATTGTTGCCCTGGATACGAAATCCTCTTACGTTTCGTTGTAGGATACACTTGATCAAAAGCATCTTTAGAAGCTGCTGCGCCCATTGCAATGTCCTCTTCCATTATGCGTAAACGATTGTTAACGAGGACAAAAATAGAGCAGCGTTTAATAGGACAGCGTCTAAACATAACTGAGAATCGGTTGGGATAGATTTACAGGTGGAAGGCATTTAGAATAAAAATAACAATGGCCGTACAGGTACCCTGCTTGCATTGATTAATATGACTTGGTTAACTATGAACGGTAACGGTCTTTGAAACGGAGCAATTAAATCTAGCCGCTCTAACAGTAATACTAAATATCTGTGGATTAGATATGTATATATATATATATATATAAAGAACCAAGTTACGGAATTTTTACCAGGTAATGTCCTAGCTATAATTTTGATAAACTGCCAGGCACTGATAATGAATAACGGTTTGACGTACGTAAAATAAATTGTCATCCCTTTAAATGGATATTTCATAGCCATCGCTCAGGATACTGTTAGGTGCTGAATATAGATATTTCCCATTTTCACAAGCAAAATTTCTGAGAACGAGAATGAAGAAGAAGAAACCAGCGTTTAATCGAGGCTAAAATAGTTTGGAAGAAGATCATTGTAGTATAATTAATTTATTCTAAAGGGAATGCAAAACTGAATTTAACTACGCATGTATTGTCGCAAAGATAGTAAGTAGCATAAGATTATTCATAATCAGTAACACATTTTTACTGGCTGAGAAAGCGCTACGGACAATTTTAACGGACCTCGTGGGTCAGCCATTGCAATTTTCCTTTCGTAGAACTTGATATCGCGCGAAGAACACTTCCATAGGCAATGCAGCAAAAAATAGCCTTAACTGGGAACATCGTTTATTTCAAAAATGTTTATCTTACGAATTAATAGGATGGCAAAATGGTCGAACTGTTATCGAGTATAGGTATGACAAATTTGTGTGGACTGTATAATGTCGAATTAAATGTCTGTTTAATCATCATTGTTATTTACGGTATTATCAAGCCACCAAAGGACTTTATTCAGTTGTCATGAGATATAGCAACGAAGTAAACCTAAGTTAACATACATTTAAGTCTTTATTATATAACTGACGCGTCCTGCATACGAACAAGCCTACTCGTAGAGAAATATTGTAAGCGTTTTACCACGCAAGCGTTAGCCAATATAAGTAGGTGGACCAACGACATGTATAAACGACAAGAAAACGTATAATTTTCTGAGAGAGATCCTTTTTGTACTATTGTATATTCAACTATCTACAATGCACTTATTGCCTCATTTAGCAATAAAATCCTATTTCGCAAGATCGCTTGGTGCCATTCTGTCTAAAATTTTCTGCCAACTTCTGTATCTCTTTGCTTATTCGTTTCTGCTATTATCGCTATGATACACTTGGTCTTTCAATAGGCATTTAGAAACGAAATGGATCCTTCCTAAAGCTTTTGTGCTCAATCGACATAGCAAGCGTTGCGATCAATTTTGATGGGGGCCATCATTCAATGCAGTTCATCACCGAGGTGCATCAATGTTGACACCTAGGCGAAGACTTAAATAGGCTAGGCATTTATTTAGGTTAAGTCCAAAATGCCCTTTTTGTATTGTTACATTGTTCAGTTTTTACATCTCTTCTTTCAGCGCTAATTGTATCTGATCTCTACTGCCTCCAACCTCTCAAATACATTCGAGACATCGTACTGTCTTCGCTCATCTTCGACTCATTTTCGGAGCACCGTGACGTTCGAGGAAATCGTTTTTATTTCTGAATTCATTTCTCCTGGAGCGAGTTCATCCGCTTTTCACTTATAATCTTCTAGAAGATAAAAGTATTTACCGGCCAAATTGCGTCTGCTAGCGGCGAGTCGATAAATAGTTATCAAACTTCAAAGCTGCCTGGTTCGCTTGTAACAGCTTTGCTTGTATATATTTGTAATGTAATCTTTTCTATTTATTTGCTAAGGCATTGTCCTGGTTGTACCGCTGTCGGTTATAGCGTCACTTCTGCTGCAGTTAACAAAACGAGAAATTTTACCTCTGGTCACAATGGGTTAGCTAATTACTATCGACTGATATAACCTGAAAAATTGCGAGTGGGCTATGTAAATATGTATTTACGATAGGGACAAAGGCACTTGAAAACTATAGCGGTTCTGGCTATGCAACACATTTGTTCTAGAGGGTACTTTATCACCATTCTTATATAATACTATATTATAATCCGTTAGTGATTATTGTCCTTCAGTTAGCGCATTATTCATTACTACACAATTTACGTAAGCCTAATGATCTCCGTTAGTTCTACATTATTGCAGTGTGTTTTCCAGGCTTAGATAAATGTCTGCGCGAGACTTTTGGTTCTTGTCAGTTTCCTGACATCTTTGCTGTCGCCGATGGGCAACGGGTTCCGCGAGAAAGCCTTATGCTTAACGGTAATCCGGAAGAAGTCCATTAGTTCGAAATCAACTGATCCTCTCTATTGGAGCTCCGATCTGTTTCACAACGCTTTGTCCAAGAGACTACGCACAATTAGGGGCCCTGTCCTGTTGAAAAAAGGACACTACTACCATATTATCGTTTTAAAGCGATGCGTCGTAGCATACACAGATGCAGATGCAGATTATGTAAGCAGTGTATGAAGAACATGTGTAGTCTATCACGAAATAGCCTGCACTGATTCTAGATCTATTTGTCTCCTATGCTGGCGTTAAGTAGAGCTGTTGCGTTAGATAATGGACATAAGCTATATCGATTTATGTCACTTGAAAATTTGGCACCAGGTTGATCAGATCGCGTCAATTTCGCGAAATTAATTCGGAACATCCTCTGAGAAGCGGGTACACTTTCAAAACTAGCTTTCGATTATACATTGTTAGGATTTCTGGAAGACATCGAGCCTTAGGTAAGTTCTGCACACGCCTATGTTGGAACTTTCAGAAAATGCTTGAGTTTTCAACATTTGTTTTATGGTGGGTAGCCGTCTTTCTTTTCATTGGTCGCAGATATATCCGATGGCTGAAAACTTGTCGGGTATTGAGCGGATTGTTTGCCTCGACGACGACGTAGTCCTAAAAACCTTAATCCATTTTTAGCAAATCCGCTTGGGGGTTTCTGTTTTCCTGTATTGTTTAATGATTCTCTTTCGTGTTCATTAGTCAGTATTGTTGAAATGAGTAATACGCAAAATTCTGATATAACACAAAGAAACAAAACGTGCCACTTGTATCATTCTGATTAAATTAACATGAGAAGCCCGATATCTAACGTAACCTGTACAACAGCTAAAACGATTATACGTTTCTTAATATCTATACTAAAAGGCGCCTCATATATATACGCAAAAATAAAATTAGCGAATTTCGACGAAAGAACACCTTCTGGTCAACCTCCTTTGTCAAAGTGTAGCACTAGGCAAAAAACTCGACATATCCTTAATATCCAACACGATGAAGACCCTAACCTCTGTCGAGTCTGGAGCTAGCCTAGCTATATATAGTACCCTCGAATGTATAAACGTGTTCCACGCCCATTTCCTCCGATGAGCAGATTAAACAAAACAGCTTTCTAAATGAATCAACTTGACGTTAACCATTCGTTTGTTCTAAGAGATATTTATTATTTTTTATATAATAATTGCGCTACGCAATAAAGCTAACTTAGGTTACTTACCAAGGAGCAACTTCAATAACGAATTATATAACCATATGTTGGTTTATGAAGTTATGAGGAATTGTTACTTCGCATATCGTAGAAGAGCTCCCCTTCTCTATCGTACTAATTACGATCATTTTCTGGGTGTATATTGGAGTACTTTTTTTTCAGTGTTTAAGCAGTTATACAACTACTAACGTTAGAAAAGAGAATTTTGGTCTTATTAAATGCGAAATTGTCAGCAGTTAATCAGTCCTGCTGCCTATTATGATACTTCCTTCTCGCCGTCGCCATCCTTCGAGATGCTGCTGACATATGTCCTCACCTCTTTTCCGGGATGTTCGTCTCTTTTATACTCGCAGTTAATACCAGATTCTACCGTCAAATTTACCTTAGGTATAGCCCGACGAACTGGGTGAGGTTATTCAGAAAACCACTTCCAGCTAGTTAGTTAATAGAGTGACTTAAGATTTCCCTAGTTTGTTTTGCTCCACTCTACCAAAACTAAACATATAATAGCAATCAGTGCTAACTGGACGTCCCCGATATTATTATCACAGGACGCCTGGCCGCACAGCGACGTAGTCGTAACGCAATAAAGAGCCGCAGTCGGGTCGAAGTCGCGTTTGGCCATTGAATACACAGAGTAGAACAAGCTGGGCGAGCGGCCTGTCTCCGGTGTGCGGTCGCCTGTTTACGGTTGGCCTGTGACGTGGTGAGGAGGCACGAGTTGCTGTGATACGGCCATCGTCATCGTCGTCGCCGTTGCTACTCGTGTCCGTGTGCTATCGTGAGTGTCGCTGTCAGCATTGACAGCGAGTTATCGGGGGTTGCGTATGCGCAGAACTGAATCACGGCAGCGGTGTTTGGGTATTTCACTTGAAAGAGGCTTTTTCATTTTAGTTTCAGCTGTTCAGCGCTTCAGATTGCCGCTACGTCAGAGTCTTCAGTGAACAGTGAGTAGTGGCTACACTGCAAAGCGCTGCGAACGGGAAGATCGGAGGGAACGATTTTTCGTTCGCTGAAGAACGTTGTTATTGGCTCGAAGAACGGTGGCCGGTGAAAGGATATCTTGACTGCATCATTCGTTTGAAATATTTTAAGCAAGCTGAGTACGGCGCAAACAAACGACCAGTTCGGTCAGATAATAATTCAGGTAACGTTTTAATATTTAATGACTATAATTATTCCATTTCACTTCATTAGAACTTGGTCCATACAATGTTTTTCGTTTGGTGCAATGTTCACATTTGGCTGAGCGGATTTATAGTTTTCTCTAAAACCCAGTGTTAATTTATCGTATATATTTTCACGTAATTCATGTAAATACACAAATAGAATGAAGATGAGTATATACATCTGTTGCATTAGTTAGTATGTTTTAATTGAGGTATTTGGGATGTCACCACGACTTTTTTTTGTAATAAGTGGTTACATTTTCCATTGAATAAATACTATTGCTGTTTAATATGCTTTAACTGGTCTGTGCTATCGAATATATCAGCTATTGCCCGATCTATAAAAGACGCGCGTACATCGAGCCGGCTTTCGGTAGACTGCTAATAGATGTTGGGTTTGACGAAATTAATTAATTTATTGATTTCGCTCATTAGGTCATCATAGATCGTCATTAACAATTAAGGACAATTTACATGACCTTTTTTCGTCACCATATAAAATATAATACAATAAACCCTTAATGATGATTAAAGATGTCTGGATTCATGCACTGGCTTTTTCCTCTCAGTAAGATTTGAAGATTTTTTTTTTATCTTGTTTTATTTTCTTTCTGGTAATTGTCGTTTACATACATCTCTTCGACACTTTTTCGCTGAATTTAAAAAAGGATACACCGATATTTGCGCCACAACTTTCCAATTAACACTTACCAAAAGTCCACTAAAAAAACTATTCAAAAGTAGCTCATAGAGAACCTTGACCTCATTGTCACGTGAATAATGAGACAAACCTTTCATGTCTACTACCTTAATGCTGAAATACCCATCTCAAGTATAGAAAGATATATTACATGTTTATTCAACTCATCGGAATCTATCGATTAGCGTCAGGATTCTCCTTACATTGAGCACCAGGCTAGGTTTTCACCGTTTGAACGGCATGACCGCTGGCGTCAAGCTATCCGGTTGTGAAGTAAAAAATTACAACAAGTTAATTGTAGAGGAGTGTTAAATCATCCACGGCAGAACTCCTGACTAGTTTTTTTTGTCTGTTCTCTATTTGTTCTTGTTTACAAAAGTACGACCTGGGGCTTCCCCTTGAGAGAAAGCCGATCAAACGAAGAGAGACGTAAACAACAAATTCAAAAGACAATTCTTCTGACGTTTACCGACTCCATGATTAAAATGTAGTTTCATAATTGAAATGCCGCGGGCTTGTCTGAGATATTGCTACATTAACGATAAGCTTTGGTTGTGTTGAATTAGCCTATGGAAAACTTCAAGGAATACAGTTTATATATGTATAAAAAGTTCGCACAGTTTTGGTTTCAACAATTACTGCAATTAGTCTCTAATATTTTTGAGTAATCATCACTTTTTAAAGATGTTCTGTTATTCTCACATACTAAATATATGCAATATACTGACATATCCATGCCTAATTGTAGGACCAGACCGTTACCACTCAGATCAGATTATCTTGTATACAGCAGTAAACCAATAAATTCGAATTTCATTCTATAGGAGAATATCGCACGCATCCGTAGACATCATGGCTGAAGAAAGTGTCGCGCACATAATTGCCGACTTTCTAGGTGTTCTTGTATCAATAATTTTCATATGCCTACGGGAGTTCATCTTCCTAATAGTGCCACGACCTCGCAAAAATGTGGCCGATAAAGTGGTCCTCTTAACTGGAGCCGGTCACGGTGTGGGGCGGCTGATCGCTCATCGACTCGGTGATCTGGGAGCACGTTGTGTCCTCATTGACATCAACAAGGTGCGATAGTATCCGATAGCCTTATGCCTCGACGGAAGTGATCATAGCGAACTGCACGGCGAACTTTGATAACTATATAATAGCCGTAGTAAATAGATAGTGCTGGTTACTAACTCCCAAGACCACATTTTGGGTTTTGTCCCTTCGCCCCACTTCACTTTTCTCTATTCAATAAAGTTATTATTATTAAGGTAATTAGTGTTTAGCAATATGCGTTTAAGGGAAGATGCTGTATAATCGACTGAAAGCAAGTCTTTCTTTAAAGCTAGTTAACTATTTTGATCATTATCCTCAAAGGACACGAATGAAGCAGTCGCCGATGAGGTTCGAGCAAAAGGGCAACAGGCGTGGGCATACCAGTGTGACGTTTCCAATGAGGAACAGATTAAAGAGATACATCAACGTATTCGACGTGAGGTTTGTCTCTCTAGAAGGTACCCAGTGCACATGAAACATTTGTTAACCTGAATAGGTTTGTTTAAAAGCTTGCAAGATTGTAAGACTCGTAAGCCACTAACTTCTTATTAACTACTTTACTTACTTACCGAAGTGTCTAGATAACATGATTGAAACAAGATGATTGTGATGCACGATTGTATTTAAACTATCACTTCATTGAAGCTGCGCATATGAATCTGATATCGCACGCGTACCGAATGGCTTCCCATAGCAGTATACGAAATACTTCGGAGCCAGAAAGCTATGAGGAAAACCAGATAGGAACTCGACTAGGAACAACTGAAGTGTTACTAGCCATGTATACTGATGTAATAATAACAACAAAAAAAAAAAAAAAAAAAACGGGGTTTGCTTTTTATCAAGTGCATTGTCGCACGATATTAAAGTGTAAAAATACCTATGACTCTCGAATTCCTATAGTTGTACATGCACTTTCCCATGAAAGAGCTCTGTTAACTGATATAGTATGCATTGATTATATCAATTTGACACTGCCAATTTCGCTACTTTGTATTTTTCCGAATGTATTGATATTTTCGTAGCGCAAGACAATGTTTCTAAATTAATCGTCGGTCAGGTACAACATCGAACATTTAATCTGGACCGACACTGCAAAATCATACCATAGATATTACTTTCATCTACTCTTTCGCACTCATTAACTTCAGACTTATTGAGGTTCGTGCATAGGAACTTTGAGAAACTCGTACTTTGTTCAAAGTGATGTGTTTCTTTAATCCATAATACCTAATACGGAGAGACAGCAACGTATGAACTACTTTTACGTCGCAAAGGAACCAGCACATTTCGGCTTATTGTTAGAACATGGCACAGAGCTGCAATTCATAATTGCTAGGTCTAATTATCGTCTCTGACTAATCCTTTAGGTGGGCCCCATTGATATACTTATCAATAACGCAGCTATCGTCAACTGTCAGGAGCTTCTCGAAATCCCATCAGCCAGTATTCGTAGGAACTTCGAGGTCAACATCCTCTCACATATGTGGGTGAGTCACTAGACAACAAAGGAACAGTTTTACAATAGAGGAAATAGACCTAATGGTGACAGTCATAAACGGGTCACACTGTCCGTCCATGAACCCCCCGACGGACTAAAGTGCTCTATGAAGGTGCCGTGAACAATTCATTCATAACGAAATCTAATTTGATTAGCAAAATACGATATTTGTTGCGAACTTGAACACATAAAGTAGATAAAAAGGAATACACATGTAATAATATACATAGAACAATAATTAATAAACAAAAAAAAAAGTATAAACTTCATCCAAGCAAAGAAAATCATGGATGGAGAGAAAAAAAAACCGTTAAATAATTCGATGTGAGTCCTATCGATAGTTCTGTCGTGCAAACAAAAACTCAATATTCCTTATTATTTTCACGCATTACACGATAGCTAAAACGTACTTGAATACGACGGTATATAAACTGCTCGGAGTACGTGACAGCTGATACGTCAGGATGCGTTGTTCATGTGTCCAACTCACAGGCTCACAATCTTCCAGCAGGCCCATACGTTGAATCAATATATTTGCAATGCCAATAGTGTTTTCTGAACAAAGTTCTTATGTTTTGGCCAAATAGATATCACGTGATATGATTAAAACTTAATGAAATCATGAGTGTAAGCAGTGATGGAGGCGATAATCATACGTATGCTAAGTGTTAAGAAAAGCCATAGATGGGCAATAGGCCACATAAGCTGAAATGCGTGGCCTTTCACAACATGCACAGAAATCGTTATCTCCTAGATTGTAGGTGTTTGGACAATGACGTGCTCAGATTCGAAAACCACTTAGCGACGTTGCATCTGTTCGCCCGTCCGTCGATTAACGTTCAGTCAGAATTGCTCGGATCGCGTTTGGTAAAACACTGGATCTATTTCATTCACCTTGTCCTTGTGCCGATCTTTAACTTATAGAAATCGTCCGGTGGCTTAAATTGTCTGCGTTTCATACAACTGGTTAACAAATTTGTTTCTGAATTAAGGATGAAATCCACGGACGCGTGCTAAATAGGCAGGCTTCGTGCAGTTATCGTAAAGCCGCTTCGCTGCTAAGTGCCTTCAATCAGTGGCACTCCGTTCGATGCATAATGCGAAGCATGGATTCACTACCGTGATTTACGAAATATATGCCGTAAATCGTATAGTCATATAACATCGAGCAAGCTGCGAACGCGCGGTGCGCTTGGTTCAAAAAGTGTGTGATTCCTTCGATGCAGTTCTGAAGAACTTCAGTTTTTGTTAGGTTAGGTAATTGAGGAGCTAGAATAAAGCTTTTCGCGAGTCAGTCGAAGGGTTTGTTTCTCTTTAGTATCACGCACAGCAAGGCATTGAACTGGCAAAGGTTTTTCCGAAGACAAGCGTCAACTAGAGCTGTCCAACGGAACAGAGTAAATAGTACCTGTTGTAGCTGTTCGTTCCGGAGTGAGTCGGAGCTGGCGGCTTTGGCAAAACTTTCGCACGGTGGCATACGCTGATGCGTGTCTCACTCATGTCACACGTCGGTCCACCTTATGCAACATTTGGGGGGTGGAGGAACTGCATCTCGGCCAGTGAGTATATACTAGAATTGTAGCATACGGTGTGCAGGTCGACGACACAAGCTCCACCTGTACCGCGTCTTTGAAATCTTGAAATGCCGGAAACTCGTGCCGCAGTTAATGCCCACCTTTCAGAAATAACTTAAGTGAGTGCAGAGGCTACAACGTGCCCTAAGGTTACGCAAATGTTAATTAGGCGTCGACCGAAGCAAGGCTAAATGTGACGATTCTTTAATCGTATTGTGGAGGCTGCTAAAGCCTCCTTGAACGCTGTTCTAACCTGCTACACATACAGCATCAAAAATTTTAAAGAGCCCAACGGTCACGAAGTTGAAAACCGTCCAGTCATCTGATATAAGACAGTCAACCACGTAGTGAACATTCATAGCTTAACGGGTATATGGCACTGATGTTCTCGAAAGTCCTCAACACCATCTGGTTTGGAAATGGGTTAGTTCAAATCGTAACCGATTTGTCGATTTTCAAAGCTCGAGATCGCTTACAATAAGGCGCCACTATACGGTCGGGCTGGTTGCTAGCTAAGTAGAGTTCACTAAAAAAAAAAAGCTACGTTTTATATGGCTGTCACATCAGCGGACGTTTAGTGAATAATTGAGATAAAGAAAAAGGACAATTAAGAATTATCATAAAAACAAACGATATCAGCCTATTGACTGCTTCGTTGTCCCAGTTAATTATATGAAATTTTAATTTCAGACGATCAGGGAGTTCCTGCCTGCAATGAAAGAACGAGGAGAGGGCCATATCGTTGCGATGTCCTCCATTGCAGGAGTTCTTGGAACAGCGTACCTTACAGACTATTGGTACGCATTGGTGAACCGTTCAATAAATACACTGATACGTGACGGGACCACTATACATCTCGAGTGAAATTTACATGGCTATCATTTGAAAACGGTTTCGTCTATGTTTATGGAATATTTATTACGTTCGCAATTGTGACATGCTCGGTTATTTTCTGTATTAGCATGACAGGTCACTCATCTTTCTAGTGGAGTGATAGCAATATACGAATCGATATGAATGAACAAGAACATGGGCTTCATCGAGGGAATTTGTTATACATTAAAGACGCACAACGAAATACTGCATAATTATGATGCGAACATATTTTAGCGTTTTACTTTTTCGCTAATAGCGATATCTGTCCAGTAAAATTATAGTTTTAATAAGTAGCGCTTGCGTCTCTGCCATGTTCGATCAACTTAGCGCCTCGAAATTTGCCGTTCGTGGTTTAATGACAGCGTTGGAAGAAGAATTGTACGTACAGGGCTATAGTGAAAAAATTCATCTTACCACAGTATGTCCAGTTGCGATCAACACAGGTTTGTATTTATCTTTTTAGTATAGTAAGAATAAGATTTTGGTTGTAACCTATTATATTGTACACACCCTTTGCTGCAGAAGGACTGCCTACGATTATTTGAGCCGTCATATTTTTACATTTATCTTTCCTACGTACGCCCACTGTCATTAAATATAGAAAATGTTAAAGATTCTCCAGCCATTTACTTCTTGCCAAGTGTATCGTAAAATTGAGAGTAGTTTTGATTCCTGTAACTTGGCCCTGTATATTTACAGCCTACTAAGTTTTAATTGGTCAATTAGAGCCACCTAAAATAAAATATAAAACAAACAGAGGAAACGATTCGATTGTCGAAACATAATTGCATAGCGATTGCAATTGCTCTGTAGTTTTTTTTCGGAACAAAATTAATGCTAAAATTAAAATTTTTTGGCTTTGCCCTGTTTTTTTCAGTTAATCGTAGATGGATCCTAAAGGGTATCATAGTTGACAAAACCTAACAATAAAACTGATTTTGATTTAGGAATGTTTCAGTCCCTGCTAACTCGCTTCGCATGGGCAGTTCCGATTCTCGAGCCGGACAACGTTGTTGACAAGGTAATCGAGGCCTTCCTTACCAATCGGAAGGAGATCGTTCTTCCATCTTACGTCGGTTACGTTAACAAACTCGTGAATTGGTACGTTGACAAAATGTCTGAGTACAACGTTTAATCCGCTGTTCTAACTATGTTCGTTTACAAACTCGTAGATCTAAAAATAATAATAGTAATAAGTTTTTTGGCAATACGCACATGACAAGGGCAAGCATGAGGTTGACGTAACTCGGGACACTCACACTAAGCACTGAATTTTTCATAAACCATGTGCGTATACAGTAATGTTAGGCTTTCACAATGTCTATACGACCATACCAGACTGCCGTATCTTCGTCTCTTTCTATGTTTCCGAGTTTTACGTCCATTATCGCCGTCAGGCATTTCATCAGACGGCTGAGTCCCAACACGAAACGAACTGTGTCTCTATACCCGAATTCGAACCTAAACCCCAACGTGCCTCTAAGATTTGCAGGCAAACACGTTACCCACCAAGCCTTCCGCCTAAAATACAAAGGAAATTTCAACTCGGGTAATTCTAATTCTGTCAGAACTTAGCAGCCAATTACATGTTTGTTTTATACGTTTTCGTAATTACAAAGAAGCAGTGTAAAGGAACACAGCTAAATAGGATTGTATTAATTCTCGCCACCGCCACTCGTTTACTTTAATTAATGTCTTACCTTAAGCATTACTGCACCCAAAAAAATTAGGAAATATTTGAAAATTCTCATTAGCGTATGTGATACATCGAACTAACGGTAAAGGTAACATTATTAGAGTGGCGAAAAACGACATTCGAACATTCATTTAGGTAAAGTAAGTGGATACTGGAATTCAAAATGAAAAATCTTCGTGGTATTAGAGACTTGAAAAAACACCGTAGGTATGTGACACCATAGAAGATCGTTCAGTGCATCCTGGCACTGCTTACCCACCCCTTACCTCTCAAAAAAGGGGTCCAGTTTTGTCAATATGCGTGTCCTTCGCGTCTATGAGAGGAAACCAGATGGAATTGCTATCATCTTTGCTGCAAATATTTATTTAGCCCCATGAGAGGACTATAATATCATTTTTAATATAAAGTGTTGATTCGTAGTGTGGATTATTATTATCATATTTTTATTACTCTCGCTTCCTCACTTCCTCGTGCATGAAGTTTGAATGAGTGAAAACAGACAGCCAGAATAAGTAAACAAAAAAAAGTGAGCCATCGATAACGTATACCCCCAATGAGACGGTAGACATTTGGAGTTCAACTGAAACGATTAACCGTGCTGTACATAAACAAACCAGAAGCTTTAAAAATTGACTGATGTGTACCTTTAATATAGTTTAGCATCCACCATCTCAAAGGCCTTATAGAAACCCATAGCCAGTGTTCGTGTTTTTGTCGGAGTCTAATTGACTAGAACACGGTAAACCTACCAGTAAATCAATTATACTATAACTTAGAAATTAACGGTGTAATAACTTACTTAGAAATCTAATCACGTACATTTTGCTTTCCTCAGTCTTTTACCTGATCGAGCCATTCTCAAGCTACAGCGATTTCTTCAGTACGAAACGGGCCCCCACAAGGAAGCGTCTTCCACCGACATGGAAAATGCCGCCAAAAAGGATCTCTAAACTTACTGTTCTGCGACAACTAAATAATTTATACAGACTTTTATGGCTGAACAGATGACGCTTGTCATTAGGGTCACGCAGCGAAACGTTCAGCCACACGAGGAAACCACGATTACGAGAATATAGAATTGAAAGTTAGTGACCTTTCATCATTCGACTGCTTACAAAAGGAGGAAATATCACAGTTTTCTCCGCTTCTGTAAAACTTGCGCTATTGATATCTACACAAATGTCAAGCATAACTAACAATCTTTACGTTATATTGATATGAGCACACGTGTATCACTAATATATAACTTATATGAGTAAAAAAAAAATAAGATTACGACGACAGCCCTAGCAACAGTTGACAGAATTACTGCAAATATGGCATAATATATTTCATGGCTGACAAAGGTGGCGTACTTTATACAGAAAGATCGAGAAAACACATATTTAATTAGCTAGTATTTTTTTTTTACGCTTTCGTATATTCGAATATGTATGAAATGTTAAGGCCAATAACTCTCTCTATCTAGTCAGATCACTTTCGAATGGCCGGCCCATGTCATGAGAACAATTTAAAAGAACCGCACCATCCAACAGTCCCTATATGGGACCAGATTTATTCCGCGCAACAATATTTTATTATTTTTCCCGTGTTGCTTAATTGTCACTGCTACAGCATCATTGATAACGTACGTACAACACACTATAGTACGCGTGCGTATCATGTTAGCCTTTCGTGTCAATCGAAGTACAGTAGAGTGCATCTATAACACTGTTGCTTGGGTGGCATTTAGCTGCTACACATACCGCTTCTATGGCTGCTGTTATGACGGTATTAGTCTCAACGCCTTTTGCAACGGTCGCCGAGGACGCGTTCACGCCAGTCTCTCTCAGCGTGACCACCAGAGGGAGCAGCAAGCGCAACGAAAGGTGAAAGAGCGTAGCCCATCCTCTCTTGACCCATTCTGTTCTTATTCATCTTTATCCTTTTTTTGTTCGGTTTGAAAACGGCACGACGCATCAGTGCGCGGGTACGCCGCGCGAACAGACTACTGCTGTTTATACTGGTCCTGCTATTGTAGCTGGTAGTGAAAGTAGCTTATGGTGACGGTGGCGATCCTCATGAGGAAAGCAGCACCACTTCTGGTCAACTGCCACCTCGCTTACACTTTCAGTTGTGACCACCAACGCTCCGGTGCTGCTTGCACTCTTTTGGTTATTTTTAATCGAGCACCTAGAGGACGTTTCAGGCTTTGAGACGATGGCATGGTACTATAGCGGAAGCTAAAGTGCTAAAACTGGGTGCCTTTCAGATGTCTAACCTTCCGTGACCGCTGTACACGATCAGTACGAAGAGATGCTACGGTAGTACACTACCTCGTAGCTTGCGGTAATATGTAGACTGTACTAGGCCCAAAGCGCATTTTACTGCTGCTACTACATTTACAGCTGCTGGTCGGAGCAGAGACGTTACGTCGTCTGCTAAAGCCTATTTTTCGGCCTGTCGCGGTGCAAGTAGTGTATTAGTTAACGTGACCGAGGTGGGTATCCGCGTAAATCATACGCAGTGCACTGAACTGTCAGAGTGCGCGGTGAAGCGGCGGTTCATAACCACACAACAATCAGTTTTATGAGAAAACTCTGTCTTGAGTTCCCTGGCGACGACAGCGACGACTGCGGTAATTATGATAATGATAACGACGAGGGCAACTCCTCTCATTCTTCTATTATTGTTATTAGCTGGCGCGTCTGTGTCGGCTGAAAGGAGCGTCCTGGCGCAGCAGCTACTGGAAAACTACGAGATAGAACCACCGAATGATGGTCAAATCGATGTTGAGGTTCATGTGTACATCCGAAATTTCGAGTACAACTCCAGCGCTGATCGAAAACACAGGATGCAATTATTGCTACGACTGAAATGGGAAGACAGTCGTCTGCAGCACCAATCCCACCTAGAGACGGTGAATTTCCCTGCCGACGGCATTTGGGTGCCGGACATCTATTTTGAAAATGAAATACAGGTGACGGAGCAGCGGACATTGCAGGGATCGAACACCGCTCGGGTGAACCGTAATGGCGAAGTCTACTTCCAGCGTCGTCTTAACGTTGAGTTGTCTTGTCCTATGGACTTACATAACTATCCGTTAGATATACAACGGTGTCCACTTATTATATCGAGCTGGTCACTACCCGAAACCCGTCTTCGGCTCAAGTGGAGCAGTGTACCAATCATGCTAAACAAGCATGTACTTGAAATGGGCGATTTTCGATTAAAATCATTCGAGACACAAAACTGTTCGTCGTCCACGAGCGCCGATATCATCTCGTGCATACACATAGACTTTGTCATGGAGCGAATGGTTTTACCGTATCTCGTTCGCGTATTTATTCCGCTGTCAATGTGTGTACTGATTTCGTGCCTTTCATTCTGGATCTTCTGCTCACCAGTGCGGATTACGCTTCTGATGGTTGACCTAATGGGCGCCACATTTCTCGCCCACTTCATCACAGTCAATAGCCCAGTCACGGATTATACGAAGTATATCGATGTCTTCACAGGAACGTCCCTAGCGTTTATTGTGTTCGCTTTGATCGAGTTTGTCACCGTGCAATTCGTCTACAAGCGCGAGCTCATGAGTGAAAAGGTCCACTCAATGATGAATGATATACGCATTAATTGGATTGATTACCTTTGCCGATTTTTTGTTCCTCTGCTTTTCTTGGTGTTTGTAATCGTCTATTTCGCACTTGCCCTATTTAGTCGCGCCTGAGTTATCACTCAACGTAATGTGGATTTAAACTGCTTTGTTTGAGGTTCTACCTATCTTCTTGGCAAAATCCTAACTTCTTTTTTTATACAACCAATGTAAAAACAAATATACTACACTGCTACCATTGACGTGATTGTTACCACTATTATAATCATCATCATCATTGTTTTGCTAATTGCAGTCATGCAATTAAGAAGAAAAAGCGTTATTTCAGTGAATAGTCTCTAAACTGTGTTAATTTTTCCCGGCCGTCGCATATTACGGTAACACATACGCCTCTAAATCATCCCTACCATGAACGGTACGACCTAACACTGAATACACAATGATGCATGTACACTCGACACCGCCAACCTGCACGCCAATCAAATCTTGCTACTTTTAGTCGTGATTGCTCTAAATAATGTTACTTAGAAGGATTACCAATAGGCAAATGTGACGAAACATGATGAAACCGCCCCCAAACCCGTTTAATCGTAACTTCGTTGCAAACCATGTGACCCAATCGGCCGATGGACAACACATCCACCGACCATGTATAATGCGACCAGTCAGATTCGGCCGTCGATATTGGTATTTTGTAAGCAAGGCTTGCGTTCAAAATGACGGAAATCGACCACGGAGTACGCCAACAACTCTGAAATGCGATTTCGACGCTAGATGTGATATTCACAATTGAAAACAAGCATCTTGCTGGCCGACTCAGCCAAACACGTATCTCAAATGTAATATGCCCATATCTCTCGCCAGGCTTAAGCTGACGGAAAACATTCATCCGTGTTTTAAATATTACCGCGCAAAAGCTAATTATCTTGATCTTCTAGAATAATATGGTGTGAGAACATGTCGCGCAATTTGCCAAAATAGAATAAGCAGTAGCATCATGTTCCGTATGAGATCAGATACGGACAGGCAATCCTGCTTTGTTTGTTGCAGAGATCGCTTTAGGCCAACTCGAAGATTCCGCCATTCTAATGAGCGCTCAAACGAAGAGGAACAACGACCTTCGCCGATTATAACAGTAACACGAATATACGCATCAACACCCTTTGTTCGAAAAATCCGAAGCTACGCCTGTAGTAACTAGAGGACAACGGTCAGCAGAACAGCTCAGATGCTTGACATTAAGAAAATAGCTAACTAACTACCAATTAAATGTTTTTGAGTCTCCTCTAATTTAAATGATTATATATATATATTTTTTATATAGCCAATAGAGGACCACACATATTTGTCCCGACTAGCTTTTAACTGGTCAATTATGAGTTTGCTATACGTTGCAGGCGCTACATTTTCTATAACGACACAGTATATATATATATATATATATATATAGATACTTATGTGATGGCAGCCATGGTGTCAATCAATGGCAAATTATTAAAATAGGCATAAAAAAACGAACGAAATATTTAAAAACGTTAGTATTTTCATTAGCGACAAGAACGTTGTGCTTATAGCAGGTACATTGCGCTGAAATAATAAACCACTAGCAACATTTGGTAGAAATTTGCTTAGTGATTACTACATCTTTATAAAAGAAGCCACTATAATTTATAAGATAAAAGAAATACAAATCGTTAACATAGAACGAGTTCTTCTATTTTTAGTGTAGCGTCATACTATGGTAACGGAGGCGGACATCGGGGGTTGACTTTATAGTGAAGGCTGATTATGTATCTGTTCGCTGTTATAATAGTCTCGCTGCTCGGGTTTAGAAAAATAGACGTTCATATTATGTTTCTACTTTACCTCTATTGATAAGTTAAATGTGTGTAAATTTTAGAGGCTACAAAGGAATCGAGAAAATGTCGCATAGCTTCAAACGGATGCCATGTCTAGACGCGTCCTGTTGATATTTCTAGCTCCTATTAAACATATGTTCTGTATCTAGTTGGTAAAAAAAATCCAACAAATTACTGGATACGTAGGATTGATCTCTTGCTGTGAATGTTGTAACGTCCGAGAAAAGCAAACCGACAGATTTTTTATCGCCCATAAGCCTGGCAGTGTCTGTACGTTACAGTTCCAGATGAAGCTGAAAAAAAAATAGCTGCTACTCTGGATAGATACCGTTTAAAGCTGTGTTCTTGCGACAAAATCACCAAAAGTAAACAAGTTGTTTCTAATGACGGCGCACACGAGATAACGGCTACGACCACATCGCCAGCTCGTACAGTTTTGTCAGAGCAAAACAAATCTAACATCAAACAGACGTTTTGATGTCTGAATTTGCACAGTCTTTTTGTCTGAATTTCTCTCATTTGTCTGAATATTGTGTCTTTGAATAAACACAAAATTCAGTTTCAGAGTTCATCATTGGCTCATTTGTTAGAAGTATTATTGTATTGTTTCACCGTGTACGATCGCATACATTTTCTTAGGAAATGTTTTTCATGTCACACGAGCAGTCGAAATGGGGAGAGACTATTTTTAAAATATCCCAAAACAGGTAACCTTTTTTCAGCATGTTCATTTTACTATCGTTCATTTTCTTGGCTAGTTGTATTTTTTCCCAGGATTATACCACACTTTCCATCTTTAACGAGGTACAAACTAATTGACCGGTACGCAATTAGCCCCGTTTGATTAGAAATGAATGTGTAGTTAAATATAAGGGAACCGAGTTATTTTAGAACAGAGTATTCGTCTTCTAAGCTGAGCCATAGCGTATGCTAGAAATGCTTGCATAATGATTCCGTTTCCTATCGCCTAGATCTTTTCGGAAGGATCTAAGAGTAGTTACACCCAAATTCGATCCCGGAACATTTCCAGTTGATACCCGAAGAGGGGACTACCGCACTATCGCCGTAGTATGAAACAGAGAATGGATCTAGTTTTCATGGAATTAGATACCAAGCCCATTTACATTATTCGTATGTATTGAAAAACATCTTCATTCATTCATTCATTCATTCATTTTGAGGCATGTACAAGCAATAGGCTCAAAGCAATGTTAAAGCTACTCGAAAATGTAATAACGTTCTCTCACTAAAATAATGACATGTTATATAAGGGTATCTAGTTGAGTATCCTATTTGGCTATTTTTGCGTACCACTGTATTTATAAATAGGCACTCCGTTTATGCTATCCTTGAATCTTCCAGCTTCAAAAACCTTGCCTCTACCTATTAGCATGTTAATCTCACCCTATCAGACCTTTTTTCAATCTTCAGAGCGTGCTATCTCAGTTATCAATTGCTCGATAAAGGCCCAATGAATTCGGAGCTTCCTCCCTAACTGCCCGCACAACTTCGTCCTGTTCTGTTCTGAATTCTGTTGGTGAATGTCTTGTACGTAGACCAAGCTTTACCGTCGACTTTTTCCCCCGTGTCCTTCTAACTAAAACTTCTCTACATAAGTTAGTTGTCGCGAACCGCAGAATATAAGGTATTTTAAGTGTAAATCTATCAGTTTTACCTATTCGCTGCAGCCACGTTTTTGAATAAAATATCCTTAGAATAAAAATCAAATATTCAGCGCGTAGCCTTAGAAATTGATAACCCAGGAGACATACCTAGTACAGTCACATAGTAGTACAAATGATAGCGGTATTAAATAAACAAAAGTACCAATAATGACAAGTGGATCGCTTGAACAATACATTGATCTGTCCCGAAGGGTAAATAAATTTACTTGACACGTGTCTAATTTTCTACCACGTTCTCTAAGCTCGGCTCGTATTTGGTAAGTACAATGGTACAATGGTAAGTGTAGTGACTGCTGGCGAAATCTGTCCGATACGGAAAACGTACAGGCAGACTCCAAGGCATTTGCTTCATCATTTAACTAAACAAAAACATTATATTTTGACGATTTAATTTATTATTTGTCAATTGTACGCAATCAAACCTGTTACTACCATAACCATTAAGCTTTAATATTTCACTATTTAATACCCTGATTATCAACTCTTGCACTAATAAGCACATGTCCTGAGCAGGCATCTCTTCGCACGTATTCGGCCATAAGCGAAATACTATATTATCTTCATTGCTCATCATCTCTCACCGTAGAGTAAGTGGAGTAATGATTGAGCCAGCCTATGATGGGCTTTTCCTTTGTTTGTAGTCTTATGGATACATTATGAACGACGCCAAGTTCATGTGAATTTTTGCCATAATGCATTTTCGGCGTGAACATTTTTAAGTTTTGCGTAGAAAGAAAAACTCTGTATTACATTACTCGGTAGTGATATGCCACCCCATTAGAATAGCTATCAGCTTCAAGTCATACTACGCCTTCTATCTAGCTGGTATGATCGACCACTAACTGGTAATCTTGGCACCGCTAGAATGTGTTCGCGTCTAGGGATTATCGAAGACCCGCTAAGCGCTGGAGGAAGCAACTTACTTCCGTCCGTGGCTAGCAAGACGCAGGAAGTCAGATACAAATAGCCTAGAAAGAAAGGCAGCGCTATGTCGCATTTAGAGAAGCTTGTTATGCACGTTCATGCATTGAGCACGTTCATCGCGCTTGTGTAATTGTGAATGAATTACGCAGCGTTCATTTGAAAAGCGCTACGATAGATGACAAGCACATACAACCTAAAACCGCGTTCTACCAACTCATTGCTGTACACTCCTGTACATTGACCTTAATATGTTTATATATACAAGTATCAACCCTTCACTCGTTTCGATTTACGATGTTCCTCCATTCTAGTTTTACTATTTATGTTCCACGTCAAATTACGTAGACGTTATTATTACTATCCAAGACAGTATGATAAGAATATCAGTCTACAGCCGCAGAAGCTAAAACTAATTTCCGACTTCCATGTCGGAACCTAACAGCGGTATGGTTTAAATGACCTGTTAGTTGTCAGTTGATATTGGTGACATGAGCAGCTCTAGATAACCTTTACAACAGGTCTTGAATAAGAAATGATTTCCTCGGAGGATCGACAGCGATCTGGTCGCTGGTGTCCGTCGAAACAACAGCGATGTCTTTTTCATCAGTGTCCAGCCGGCGATATACTCGTCGCCTGTTGGGAAAATGTTCGTTGTTAACTATGTAATAACAAGATTGTCAATTATGTCCTCGATATCGACAGATGAAGATTATGTTAAAACTGAATATCTCGTATAAGTACGTAAGAACTGCAATTATGATAATGATTGCATCTGTTCTGCAGCTGACGACGACTTCAACTTACGTAGAATAGATTTTGTTCCAAGCAATTGTTTACACTCAGCCCATGTGTACCCAAGATCACTATAAAGCGTAGACTTTTTTTTTTAAATTTTTTATACATCGTAAAAGGGCACGTGTTTTTTTGGGATTCCATATATGAATGTACCTTAAGTCAGCGGTACTGGAACTTCTTAGGAAAGCGCAAAACTACAATTGCGTTTATAACTTGCATTTATCCATTAGTAGAGTGTATTTTTGGTAAAACGTAGAACTACGCCGAGCTTCATTTTAATAGATAAGCTACATTATCTAAAGAAATATCCAAGCTTCAAGGATAACTCACTGGTACATTTCTTTTTGGTTCCATAAAAGAGGCCTTTATTCGACTAATACGTTTCTCCCTGATACAATTTAAATATAAACCTTGTGACTAACGATGAGTCGTGAGACGGAAAGTAATTAAATTCAGGTACCACTTGCCTGTGAGGTCTGACTGGTTCATCGCCTGCCTGACATTCATGTTTTTTGCGAAGAATTCGGTTTATACTGGATACGCTCGGCAACGCTTCGCGAGGACATACGCCGTCCTGAATAAAATATAGACATACTGACTAACCAATTTCTCAACGCGAACTTTACAGAATCACTTACAATTGGTACGTTCAACAGTTAATTTTGCTAGGTGAAGCAGCGCTCTTAATTTTGGATTAACTTTAAAAAAGCTTCGCTGTTTCTATATGTAATAGGCAAGCTATTGCAAAGATCACAAACGATTTGTCTCAATATGCAGTGATTATACTATTTGAACGATCCCAGCAGTAGTCGATTTGTGATAATCAGGGTACAGCACCTATTAAAAAACTCACTTTTAAGAGGCGCTCCCGTATTTCCCAGGCAAACAGTGAATTGTTTTCCTTCTTGTACCCGAGAATTGTTTCAATTACCAGAGGAGTCGATACACGAGGCTTGGATCCGCCTAAAAGCAGAAGCGCTTGTTCAGATTATATTATGGGAAAAAGATTAAGTAAGGAAAAGTTAAGAGTTCAAGTTCATTCTAATCATGATATATTCAATAATGTATACACCGTTAATAGACAGTTTCCTTTATAAAGGATTTTATATTGCTGAGGCGTCTGGTTCAGCCCGGGCTGGATTAGTTCGAAAATTGACATCCAACTAGTTTTATCATACTGCCATATAGCAAAAACGATAATGTGGAACCAGCAAAAAAATGAGTCATTTCCAAAAATACGTGCAAGTTTCACCAATATTTGCTTCCGATATTCCATAAAAGCTATCACGTTAATCGTCCCTAGAAGAAGCAAGCTTCCAGTTAGTCTTGAGCAGACGGGATCAAAGTCCAAAAACCACTGAGTATTCTTGCGTCGTGCAGCACGTTTGTTCGGGTTTCAATACGATAGGACCTACGAGCAAAATAGTTCTTCTTTTTTTCTTTTTAAATTTCTGTGCGCGCTTCAGCCCGGATTTTCATTAGCTTGTCCAATTAGCATTACACAACTTTTTTTGCTAAGCACGCCTAACACACCTGCTAATAAAATCAACAATATACGTAAAAATAACTGATTACCGTTTTCTATGTTAGAAGAATAGTGGGTTCAAACTACTAAGGCAGGAACCCAGTTTAAATAAGTTGATACGTTAGCTTCGCTAAGAAACGTGTCGATACGCAAACAACTTTGGCCCAAATAGAACTGATGAAGAAACCCTTTTCTTAGTCATTCAAATATTCATTATTGTCGCACAATCGCGATGAATTCTGTTCTTGAACAATCTGAGAAAAGTCAACTTTGTAGTTGACAACTTAATTACAGCAGACTCGCTTTAATTTACGTAACTTGTGAGAATGCGTATTACTACGATAGACATAGTATAATTCACAGTTATTTGCTAATGAAAAGAAGCAATTGAGCCAATTAACTATATCCATGAAAAAGTAAAGCCTCCAGTTAGGTTTTGATTACGAGCAGGCCTCAACATCGCTAGAAAATCATCTGGTTAAAGTAGTGTTGCTGGCCAAATAAATCAGTGGAAACATTTATAACGATCTAATACATATAATAGAAGCTGATATAGCTCATAGATTACGGAAGGGAAAAACAGAACGAATACGTACACAACTTACCGATGGCCCCTGGTAAGATGGAGCCGGTTTCCGCGAACTTCGATAATATCTTTGATACACATCCATGGGACACCAAGAGACGACGCGAAATATCGCACGGCCGAAATCCAAGCAAAGCCTACGGAGGAAAATCGGTAGTGAATAAAAATTAATAAATCGATTAATACGAGTGTATTTATTTGCTAGTAATTAACTACGCGATCGATAACAAACAGACAACGGGAAACTGGAGCAACGTACGATATTAGGAAACGAGAGGATGATAATAATTATTGCTAACCCTGTTGATACTATGTGCTCCTTTTTTAGGTCAAAACACGTTTATTACGTTTCTTCCATCGGCACATTGCAACTCATTACCAATACGTAGGCTTCTGGTAAATAAATTTTATTTAAATGGCTGCGTTACGATCAAGTTGCGAGTACAAACGGGATAGTATTTAGAAGAGATGACAGAAATTTCCCCTTTACAGTGGACTCAAATTGGAGGCTTGAGGTTATCGACCTTTTTTTTTTTTTTTTTTTATAAAAAAGCTCTTACAAGGTTCAATGTTTATGACAATTTTTTATATTGCAGGACAGATAACCTGCACCTTTCAGAGCCTCCTTGCACAGTTTTCTGCAAAAGCTTACCAAATTAGTATCTTTGCAGGAGCTACGGCCATAGCAGGGAATCTAAATATCTAAGTTTCTCTCTAATTACAGGTGTTGGCCTTGTCGTATAATTGTAGCCAACTTCTGCTGTTTGAATGCCTTGATTTCTAGTTTTAAATAAATGTGATTTTCGAGTTCCAACATAGTAGGATTTATGCGAAGCGTCACCCATTTGCTATATGGGCCGAAAGATAGTCGCAAGATGATCCTAATTTTGTGCCGAAACATGTTTTCTCATTGATTCGTTTATTTCCCAACTAGACTATCAAACAAACAAAACTATCAAATCCCATTGTACCACAAGTTTCGTCATTTACAAACCACCGCTTGATGAGGCTAATAAAACGGGCTGGTGCAAACTTTTGGCAGAATGTATTATCAAACTTTTTTTTTTTTACTAAAATGTTGACAATTCAGAAGCACTCTACGGTACATTCTGCAGCCAAAGTTATATAAGTTCCTACGAGCCCCTCGCCATGACTGTCCTACTCATGTAATTTCAAGTCGCTGGACTTTTTCCCATGAAATATTTTGAAGATGAAAATCTATAGGGTTACTTATTCCATATTAGTTTAGTTTCATCTATTCGTCCCCTGTAAAGAAATCCCCAAGTCTGACGTTATAATTAAAGGAACGCGACAAGCTTATAATGTGATGTTTATTTTATGCATATTCAATATATGTTTATCACAGTTTTAAATTGATACAGAAAAATCGGGTGACTCTATATATTTAGAATATCGCTTTTCTTTTTGTACATATAAAGGATTTTTTAAAGAAAGCTATCCATTGACCGTAATGCTTTCCCAAATGTGTTTCTATGTAGGTATTTAAAACTTCTCCGAATTCGGGGAACTGTATTCAGGTGAGGAAACACTGAAACTGAAAAATTAGGGTTAACACAATGTTGCCAAATTATCTTCGTTATTGAGTCGGTAATGAAATAGAATTCTTTATGTTTGTATCTATCACATTCATACTATATTTATCTAAATGTTTAAGCGAAGCATATACACTTTGAAGAGTGTAGTTGCCACACATACTTTTAAGGTAGACCTTTTCTTAGGTAATTCTCGAGTAGGTACAGAGATGTTTGCTACTCTTAGAATGTTGCGTGTATATTCATAAGCCAGCACCTGGACCTGTTTAATTTGGCCTATTACGAGGCTTCGGGGTTCGTTTAAGCGTCGAGTCACAGCATAAGCACACGCATCTAATGTATGACGGGACCTGTTAGGTGATTTCTCTTTGCGCATTTAGTAATTCAAGTCTTATCCTATCCGGCTGGATGAGATTTCGCTAGAGCATTGCGCAAAGGGGAAATATATTAGCACGTTATGACAACTTTGATGCCTTACCATTTCGAGTATGCGGACACGTATGTGCAGTGGCAAAGGTTTCCCATTCGAGAATGCACCGCCTAGCTGATTAACACCATCATTGGCGGATGGATAGAGGTTGCCTGTATGCCGAGTTAGATGCATAAGCGATGTTAAATTTTGTTTGATAAGCCAACTTTCGGTAAACAGATTTAGAAATGGCTGCAATTTTGATTTGCTTTGACACAGTGACCTGGTCTATATTTAAATTGATAGCCATTTGAAGTAGTCTTAAAAAGTGTGTAACTGAAGATTAATTCAAATGTCAAGTTCCTATTCAAATTTGAAAGCAACGTTTGTACGACCCCTTGATTAACTTCGATCTAAAAACAGTAAAGTCCCCAATAACGACATTTCAGCATATTGCTTAGATTCGCCGAGGCTCTTAATGGGTCTCTCGGAGCCTTTCATTCCGGGCTTTGTGGCACTTCGAACCGTCCACAGGGTTCCTTGCTGTCAGGACTCATCAAATAATCTGTGCGGTCTGTTTGTATAGAAGGAAAATACCACTCAAATGCCTTTTATGGCCTTAGATACCGGTTCGAAGTTTTTCCTTATCTCGAGAAACTATATATATATATATACTTGGTTTGGCGTATGTCTTGCTTTTCAAGAAATAGGTATATGAGCTGACAGGGTCATTGAATCGATTAAGCATTAACGCTTTGGAAAGGTAAAAATTAGTTTTAGGCCAGAATTTAGGCCGGAAGGAAAAGCGGTTTCAATACATTGCAGTTCTCGCAACGAGGCCGCGTTACATTGAACACTTCTCGGAAGGTACTTACATTAACTTAATGGTGCCACGCTCAAAATGTGTAATCAAATTAATGAAATTAGTTCTACTAAATTTATTTGGTAAAGAATATTCATGAGAAATATTTGAAGGACCCGGTTACGCTACTGTAGAAATTACTATGACAACACTTGACCAAGGTACATACGGCATGGTCTTTCTTCAAAAATACCTTTAAATATCCCATATCTATAAAAGCTAATAGTGTTTTGGCAATTATATACAGTAACATCCCGTTGGAAAGTTCGTGAAGATCAATTGCCTGTGCCAAGTACCTAGCTGTCGCGGCACGTGTAGCGAAATACACGGCGACTTAAAATCAAGACACCAGGGAACCTGGTTCATCACGGTGTAAGTTAAGTCAGGACAGTTTCACAGACTTCTTACTAAAACTAATAAAAATAATATTTAATGGCAGCGGTAGGTCGACTATTGCCGAGGGGTGCGCTCATATTCACAGCTAGCCCAGAAAATAATATGCATAGACTTTCATCGCGTATGCATCCTCTAAGTGTTATAATATACATAGAACGTTTACTTTATATTCGTAAAAAAAAAACCCGACATATTTCTTATTCCAGGTTTCTTTCTCTAGACTGCTTTTTCATTAGATTTGTTAGTCTCGTCACTTTCCCACATTTTCCCGCCTAAGAAAAGTGCATCATCATTTTATACTCACAACTAAAATGGTTAAAATTTTGAAGCAAGTTGCTCGGAGATAGCATCACTGTAACTAGGTCTTCTGTCGCTATGGAAAACTGGACTGAAGTTCCTGAACCACTCACCGCTATAATAATAAAATTAAAAGCTCGTTGGAGTAAGAATGGATTTCTCATATCCAGTAGGTAGTTAACTCGAATCAACTAAAAACACTTACTTCTTTTCCTTTGGTACTCATATAATAAAAGTAAAAGTAAAATAGCTTTAGAAATGATTAAACATTATCTCATGTCTGATCGCGTAAAAACGCCAGTACAGACTCAAGTTCAAACTCAAGGAGAAGGATTACACTCTCGCAGCGAATTTTCTTATTTAAACCAACAAAGACATATTAGTTACACACTTGTGATTGTCTGTTATATATTTGGTAACGCAATAATTTTTATTAAACTAAAACATGAGCGTAATATAGTTATGATGATATTTTACGATGATGGGTTTATACGCCGTAAACCAAATCTCGATATTCATCATGGCATTTGCACCCCAAAAAAATGCTGTTCGTGGTTTCACAACGATGAAGTTGGAGGTTTTTGGCTCTATCCTATGGTAACCCGTTTCGACAGAGGATTCTCGAAAAGCGTGATACTTAAATTTTAGTTCAAGAATCAACGCCTGTTGTAGGACACGCGAGCATTCTTCCACAAATTGTGATAGAGTTTCATCGTTATTGATATAATTGTATTGAATGATATCAATGAAGCTAATACACAGACTCGAACTAGAACCTCTTGCCATTCTCCGAGCAAGTTGATTGAAAATATCAGAAATTAGTGACAAACCTGTTAGTTGATATACTAAAGCAACATGAGCTATTTTAAGCTAACTACTTGAGGCTAGATCTAAGATGTATAGTTACCATTGAAACTTCACTCGAATGGCGGAACCTTCACCATTTAAGTGAACAGGATACCGTTGCTTAAACTCGAGCTTCGCCGGATAATTGTTTCTTGAGCATGCAGTGAAGCAGCCGCACTATCACTACGCAATAGTAGCATACACTTTGAATCAGGCATTACTAGAAAGTGTATCCAATTATTTTGAAGTTCGTCAAAGAATTTTTTACGTTTTTACTAGTGGAATCAATAAAGTTACCTTCGTTCTGGCTAAGACCTTCATCAGCATCGGGCACACACTCTGGTGGTAGCGTGAAAGCTGATCCCGGAAAAACTTGTCGCAACTCCTGAAGATCCATTGTCGTTCAATGACAACGTTTTCCCGAGACCGTGTTGAGGACAAACGCGAATGTCACTAACAATCGACCAGCTCACTTGACTTCATTTACTGCTAAGGACGTTCAAGTGGGAGCGTGCCCGTTTTGAGGACTACCACTTGATCGTCGGATCAATGATCTTGTGTACGAGCCAAACCATCTGTGCCAAGAACTCTTAACAGCTCCGTGTGTGTCTTTGATCAGGGATGCGCATGACCATGTGAATACGTCACAGCAGTCGGCAAGTGGCAGTTAGGCCCGCCCTTGTGAAGATTTTACCTCAGCTGCCGCTTCATACAGTGGGATGGAGACGTCAGAATGGAGGACAGCTGCCGCGGCTGTTTTCTATTGTGGGGCCGCCTTTTTTCATTGATGAGCAACGACTGAACGTCGGTTACGTCCCTCACCCGGCCGTTAGTCCGGGGCCAACCAGCGAGCCTTGAACTCGGAAGCCACACCCATCGACCTCATGTTCACATCAGCTACATCAGCTGACATTGGGAGGTCGAGCAGCTGCACCTGTTCACTCCGGAGGCTGCATCGATAGCACGAGATTGCAGTTGAGCTCCAACGAGGGATTTTGTTGCTCCGCTGTGAGAAAGACTTGTAGCCACCGCTATCACCACCATTACACCCACAGACTGTCCTCCCTGCCTTCAGCCATCTCCGCATGATTAGTCCCGATTCAGTCTCGTTCTCTCTTCTCTCTCTATTTCGCTGATAAAAGACTTGCGTATCCTGTTGCTCTTTACCGCTGTCTGATTTTCTTAGTGTCTTCGAACCAATCCTCATAAATCCCCCACCAGGTACCTCCTACCGTTGTCCTGCACGCGGTAGACGCACAGTGAGGAACGACCTGACTGGCCGAACGAGTTACCGTGAGGATTGAGGCCAATCTGCCTAAGCAGTTCCTTGCAACATGCAATTGCCTCGTTTTGTTGGTGTCGCTTGCTAGTCATTGAGTAGACGACATGGGCCAACCACTTCATTGGATTGTAGAAATGGCTTAAGGAGGACCTCTCACCGAGGTCGACGGAAATCCCATCCAGCTGAAGCGTAGTGCGAAACTACACAGTTTGGACGAGCCTTTCAGGAAATATACAGAAGAACCGCTCGTATACATGTAATGGAAAAAGACTGGCAAAGGGGAAAATAGGGCTGAAAGAAAGGAGCAAAAATTAGAAGAAACACGTTGTGATGAAACAGCAGCTATTTGTGGCCGGACGCAAGTCTAACTGGAGGTCAATGAGGTGCTCTGGTATTACACATCCTGCTTAAGAGAAAGCAAAACACAATATTAGCACCTGTGATTTCATTAGTTTGCTTTTTTTCTTTGGATACTTAGTGCAGTATAGTATGGTATTCAATTAAATTAAGCAGCTAAGAATACGAAACACAGTGCCGTTGTAAGCTGCGATTATGATGTTCAGATAGAGAAGGGACACAGTGCTTGTTTACTAAATATGGCGTGCACACAAATATCAGTCACCTAAGGCAATGTTTAATGGCATTACGATATGAAAAAACCTTAAAATTCACTATTGAAAAAGCAATTAATATACCTTAATAAGAAACGCTGGTTTAGGCTTCATGTATTCGTCAATGAACCATCTCTACCATTTTAGAAAAAGTATCGTATACTACTGCTGCTCCCGTAGGCAAGTTTAATCTATATAGGAGATGAAATATAGAAGCCTAAGTCAAGTTAAAGCAGGGACTAGGTAATATTGATACATTGTTTTTCAATCAGTCTTATAGCACAATGCCGTCATTGCGATTAATTTATTCTTGCAATCTGACCAAGACTAGGTATGTCCATAAAATAAATTTATAAAATCTAGAATTTAATTTTCGATGCTTTCTAGCTTCGTCAGTCAAATAAACATGTTTGGCGCATTAAAGTGTACTTATTAGTAATTAGGAGCGTCTAGTCAAACCCGCACCACTTTACTGCCACTATAAGGCACTTCAAAGAGGCCGGATGAATCGTTTTATAACTAGTGATCTATCTTGTATTCTACTGCATTATCTTTAGGCCTGTGACATATCACATGACCATTTGAGGATCAAGTGTGCCTTAAGCAAATATAAGGATACAGCAAAGGATATTGGAAAACCTGAGCTTTGGTCACAATTCGTCGCCTCATATCTAACATCCGTTCCCTATTCGCGTTCCGTAGCATCTGCGGCTTTCTCACACAAATCCGCCGAAAAACCTTATCCGGCTGAAGTTTGTCAGGAAAAAGATCTTGATCAAGGTTATTCTTTGAGCGAGTTGCCTGCCAGTTTGCTTACTGCAAGTGTTAACAACACTGAGACGCAGGACCAAGCTCGTAAAGTGTGATCCTGCTCACGAAGGCACATTTGCGCAGACTAAGGTTCCCACGCTCCCATTTCCTAATGCCAATCCTGTAGCGAGTTCGTATATTGTTATACTACATAGTGTAGTTGTCGTTACAACCGCTAGTTTCCTCTCTCCTTGTCGTCTTTCTTCAGCAAAGAAAAAAAGAAGCTTTGCCCTCGGCTCGAGCGAGTGAGCTCTAGTCGGCAGCAAAGCTCCTTTTGCGGAAACGCGACCGCAATTCAATCTTACCTCAGCTTACTGCCTGAACTTCCTTTCGAATTGCGTCGACCTTTACGCTGCTCCATCTTTTCCTCGTACAGGACGCTAGAAGTTTTACTTTCGACGGCCCGATATTTGTCCCCACAACTTCGTACTTGTCTTACACAAAGTAGGCAGAGAGATTCACACGATTTTTCCCAGCTCAAATCAATATATACTTAGAAGGCGGGTAACAGACGTAGTCACGTTTGGGGCGGGTCCTCGCAGCGAAACTCCGCCCAGTGGATCCTGCTGTACAGCAAGAATACTGCACAGAGTGGCAAACATTCAGCCCTAGTGGGGTAATTAGAAGAAAAAAATAAGCGATCGGTATAATCAATGTATATTAATTTGCAATGCAATTCAAGCATTAGATAAAATTATTTCATAAATGTTGTGAAAAACAGGCTTATTGATTATGTTCATCTATCAAAAAATAGTTGCAATTTGAACTAGAGGATACGATGCTTTCTAAGACTTACTCAATTGCAAGCTTTCATTGTCGAAAATTCGTTTAGCATAAATCCTATCCAAAGTTTTTCCTGAAAATGTGACGTCCAACTTTGAATAGCTTTAGACACGGGCGTATCCCTTAGTTCGAGAAATGACAAGGAAATCTAGTAATATACACACTGTTCCTAAAAGACAACTCTACCGCATTAAGGCTGGCTTATTCATGCCACATTTATGGTGACCTTCCTTAGTGACTGTAAAGCCACTGATCACGAGACCGTAATGCGCACTCCTCGATAATCGAAAAAGACGCTGGAAGGAAGTTCGGTTTTTGGACCTGGACCTTTCAGCCTGCTCCGATCTAAGCTCATCTTAAAAATGTAAGTTAGAAGATTGTGTCTTTATCGTTACATTATACTCGCATACCCATATTTCATTACATGTAATGACACGTTAGAGCAGTTGAAAATCCTTGTGAAGTGCGTCAAGTTGTCAACAAACCGTGTTTGCGCTGAACAATGTGACGTGTGTGAGATCGCTAACTGTGTTGCAAGTAGAACGAAATCAAACGTTCGTTTGATTTCGTTCTAAACACAGAGCATGATTCGTATCTTTTGCTGCAGGGCAGTCAATATATTACGCATGCCCTAGTATAGCATGTACTGTGGCTGAGTTTGGCTATCCCAAGCCCAAATTCATAAAACAGTCCTGAGATATTTCATTCCTCCTGTGTATCCGCAAATACCCTTCAATTTAGTAATAGAACTTTCATGTCTAATAATGGCCAAATTTAAGTTTTTTGTTTCATCAGTCTATTTAGTTTGTGAAAACAGACTACTTTCAAAGCTAATTTCCAGCCCCAGTTCCGTTAGCATGAACTTAGTTGCATGTGCTAGGTTCGTATCATTAGGAATTGGCAGGTGTTTGTCAAACCTGGAGCTACCTAAAATGGAATATAAATAATTAATCAATTAGTTTAATTTAAATAATTAACGCTGCAACACAATGTAGTTTCTGGCGCATGTTGAAACAGCTCTTAACTTTTTTATTATTTTTTGTTGCTTTAAAATAATAGACAAACTCCCATCATTTTTCTTCCATGTATCCTCTTATTAAAAGTAAAAGTGGCCATGGTTGAATAATTCATAGTAATTAGTTTGTAAGGAAATCCTTTTTTGCTTGTCCCTTGTTTCCCTGCTCGATACTTCAGCGCTAGCAATTATTATGAATACTTGTTACTTTATTAATGTCAAATTATGTACATCAATCGTGTATTCAGCGGCAATGTGCACGTGTGTTGTGCAGAACCGTTTATTAGTATTGTCCTTATTACTATAATCATCTTCCATGATTTCCTTTCTGTCTGCCACTTTCAAACGCAGGTGACAGCAAACTTCAAAAAACATTTCCTTAGTAATTCCTTAGTAGCATCAATGAGTTTTGCACCGAAAATCTTATAATCTACCTGATGCCTAACTTTATAGACAAGATTCATATATTTAGTTAACATTTGTTATAGATCCGCAATACGATAACTTTGTTTAAACTGTCTAGGTAATCTAACACAAAGAGTAGTAGGCCTTGTGATCGACATACTTCTTTCTATTGTCTGCTCGTTACTTCAATTACGTCTCGTTGCTGTTTCGTACTCGCACGTACTATTTTTGAGTCTTCATTTCGTTTAGCATTTCAGTGATGCGGGTAATCTTGCGCGAGTTAGCTCATGGTCCAATAACGTTGTTATATGCTAAGTTAGCGTATCGCAAGGTGTTATATGTCTGTTCTTTGATCCTGAAAGAGGAAGCAGTAGATACCCTGAACAGGTGAGCTGCAGCTCTAGGTATCACATATATTATTCACTCTAAATTTCTAAAATGTATGATATCTAAGCATAGTAGTGTATTTATTGACAAAAATTACCTAACAACTTTTACGGCTGTTCGTGTACGCCAGTTAAAGTTTCCTCTAAGAAAATTTAATTTACGTTAGCGATTTGAAGTCGGTTCTGTTTTACTCTCTTTTCGTACTGGTGGCGCCACCAACAGCGCCCTCACTGCGACAGCGCATGCGTTTCTAAATTGAATCTCTAATGACTCCAATTGAATAGCTTACTTTGGTCGCTTAATAAACGGGTTACCTTTGCGAACTGATGAGAAGAATACGCCAAAGTCGAACGTTTTCCTTCCAGTCATTCTACCGTATTCTTTTCGATATTTTAAAGTGTTATTATCAGTAAGTATTCAATGTTCAGAGTATATTTTTATTTATGTGGAAGATCAGTTAAACTGGTTGGATTCACCTCGAACTAGTATGCCCAGTTACCGTGGAGTGCGATTTCTATAGTTAGGAATAAGTTCTACGGCAAATTGCATTTTCACTGCTTTATTGGCTGTTCGGCTAGAACAAAATATCGTATACAATGGACAGATTTAAGTGTGACGCACACGATTCTACATCTCCTCCACTTGTTTGTGAAAAACTATATATATATATATATATATATATATATATATATATATACAAAAGTATATATAACAAAAACACCATTATCGACAGAAATTAAGTAGTATCTGAGAATTCTTAAAGTGCGCTCCGTACACATAAAAAGCATGAACATAAATCCATAATATGTACAACATCTGTTATACGCTTGAATTCTACTTACTATCCATGAAGCATCATAAAAAACACAACCTATCCTCAGTCGAATTATGTGCTAGCTGCAGCGTTCAGTTTTTTTAGCAACATTTACTAAGCAACTACATTGCACAAAAACCTTGCCTGTCCTAAAATCTCTGTCTTAAACCTTAAAAAACCTTATTTGATCCTTATACTCTACCTTTAACTGTGAACCCTCATGGCGCTAACAGCGTTTCGCCGTAGCGCGTTCTTTCTTTTTACCGCTGATCGTAGTCCACTTGTGCTTCAAGCACCCCTCACTCGCTACCTCAATCGCTACAGGTGCCGTTTCGCAATTCGTTAGTCTTTTCACCCTTGCCCTCCTCCATCGCTAAGCGAGGGATTCATTCTCGCACGTTCGGTATGGGTCATGTCGTCTGTTTGTTTTTAAAACGTCTTACTTTAAGCTCGGTGTCTTGGTCAACGCTTTCAGCTGGCTTATTCGTCGCCCAACTGCCCGCAGCCAACAGCTACCCTCTCAACACCAACAGCAGCAATAGCGGCTAACTATCTCTGTCGTGGTATTTTTGCGTTTAGCGTGCGTTTTACTTTTCGGATGCTCGAATTGTCATTCATCGTTCGGTCATTGCGATCAGCGTTGCTTCATCTGCCCACTAATTATACTGGATATTACTTTTATCCGTTACATCTGTATCTATCCGTGCGTGTCTATCCGAGATTGCGACGATTTGTCGGATCGCTGATTCTTCGAGGACTGTTGTCGTATCGAACAGAAGTCTGGGAGATTGCATATTGCCACTTGGATACGAGCAAGTCCGTAAAATCTTGGAAAGTCCGTCACAGTTTTGTAAGTTCCGTTATATTCACGACGACTCAGAAAAAAAGTTGATTGATCCCTTCTTTGAGTGTTCTGTGAGACCATCGAGCAGGCAAGAAATGGCTCTTGTCGGTGCACCCTCGAGGTAAGTTCAGTAAATATAGTTTTTTTTATCCTGACGTAGTTTCTCTTATTCAATTACTCTATTTCTCTTATCCAACACGGTACATATATATATATATATATATATATATATATATATATGTACCGTGTTTGCTAACCCACCTAACATATTGTTTTGTTTGCGTATACGGATAGTTTATAATTGCAACAATAACTATATTGTTGTTGCTAGAAGCTCATTGAATCAATAAGTGTGAAACTGCCGGGGCGATACGATTAATTGAGAGCATTTTTTACCGTTACCGAGAACCTATGCTCCGCCACAGATCATGACTTGTCTGTGATCAGTGCAAGCGCATTGTGAATAGCTGATACGGGTCAATCTGTGATGTTCTTCCAGCTGGAAAAGATCTCTATGTCGTCGGTGTTTATGCCCATCAAATATCTACGGCTTATTTTTTGAAAAAATGCATTGCAGAATTAATCGCAGTGATACCAGATTGACCGTGGAAAGCATCACTTTTAGCAGCAACTTGACGACTCCTTCAATTTTTCTGAAGGCTCTCAGAAACTTGCTTGCGCGGACCTGTCTCGCCAGACAGATCAAATACTGCCTGTAAGATGTTTTCAGTTAGTTTACAAAAATTATGCCGCAAAAGTCGAACAGTCGAATAGAATAGAATAGAATAGAATAGAATAGGATAAACAAAATAAATGGGAATATTATTTCATTAAATATTCGTGCTTTTCCGTACAGCATATGAAAAACTTGATAAGGAACCCAAATATGTATTTCTAGTAGAAAAAATATCCGTCTATGACATTTATATTGCATGTCTCTCCTTGTTTCGCGTTTTTATCGTAAACAAGTGTAATTTCATAATAAAAATATAGAAAAATTCATATTACTTATTAATGCTGGCGTATTTTTTTTATAATGCTCGTAGAAGCTTTAATCAACTCGTGTTAGCATTCCGAATCTCAAATGTATTAAGTCGTAGATTTCATAGACAAACAATTACCTTAACGAGACGCGTCAATTTTTGAAATTCTGAAACAACAAAATTTATCCTAGACTAAGGACAACACATGTTACTTGAACACGGTGAGGTATGTTGAGTCATGTATTGCGCATAATCGCTCCGCCAGAACAGCAGCAAATGTGCTGAGCTGGCATTGCGATGTTTCGAACAGCTGTTTCGAGACTCAGACGAAGAATAGATCAACTAAAAGTACTACAGAACTTAGTACTTTTAAAATACGATCATAACCTAGACAATAAATGCTACTTGTGCAAGAAATGTTAAGTAATATAGTTATCTATATTATATAATATCTAATTAATATATATGTTCACAAACACCACTCATCCAATGGACAGTGCCTGGTATAGCTTAGTTGGCCTTTGTTTAGGTTTATTCTGCTGCTTTCGCAATGATATATGATCAGTATTTCAGTTATCATTAAGTCTGACAGACAAATCTACATAACTCTAAAGGCTTAGCATGAATTCAAAAATGCCAGTAGACGCTATCTATGAACGCTTATTAACGAAAAAAGTAATTTTGGTAGCGTTTAGTAAAACGGACAAAGCTCCAAATTATATGATTTAATTAGCACTACTTCATACGATTGTAGCTACATTTTAGTTATTTCATTGTTATTAACGATAATTTATGTTGCTCACTCGTTATATTACCACAGATATATTCACTTGTGGCAAACACTCAGAGCTTCGCTGTCTCGATAAGAATAAAAGATGACAAATGAAACGCATCTTAAATTTTGACTTAGTGAACCAATAAGTCTCATAACTTAGCATAATTAGTATAGGCTCTGATAAGTAATACGAATGAATCCTGAGACACACAAGTATCCTATATTAAATGATCCTTACGATAACTGATGGAGCCCATTATAGTAGCAAAATAAAAATGTGCGTCTATTGCGGCTGTATAAGTGCCGTATAAGAAACGTGATCAATTGCTCGACTGGAAGTTATGTATGTGCTATTCTTGCATTTTTAAGGGGAAATAATTCATCCTTAGCTAGAAAGTGACAGTCAACAGGAGATGGCCCTAAGTAAAATGCAAGCTTTTCAAAATGTGTTGCTATTCTTAATTGTGATGTTCAACTTGTTTAAATATTTCCACAATGACTGGGCACCATGTTGTTTTTACGACGAAAGGTGTTCCAGGAAAGGCACATTCTTTAGCAGACCTAGCGCTTCATATAAAAGCTATTCATTCCTATGTTTCCACGTATACAGTACAAGAAAAGTAATTTAATTAATAATTAATTGAATGATTGTAACTTCCTTTACATAATCATGGTATATAATATTTACGAATTACGTGTGTTACATGTTACAGGTTTTCTGTGCTAAAGATGGATGTCAGTGATCCACGCGAACGCAAGAAGCCCCAAAGTAACGTGAATAACATTGGCAGTAACAACAAAAACACTAACGCCAGTGCAAAAAATAAACAGCAGCACCAGAACAAAAAAAATAAGAAAAAGGAAAGCAATAATAACAATAAGAAGAAGGTAAATTAATGGCAAATGCACCGATTGTTTACTTTAGTGCCAATTCTTATAGGACGTAGGTTTTTACCTGCCTTAGTTCCTTATGTTCGAGGGCAAATAGAATATAATTATCGCACTACTGGCTTAAGTCTCTCTTTGTTTTTTATTTACTATTAAATCACCCTTATTAAGATACATTGGATATGTCATGTATATATACGCTTGAACGGCGAAACTATTTGGTTAGATAGTAAGGACGAAAATCGATATGATTCGCTGGTGAAAAAAATTATCGGTTATAAGGATGCCGAGAATTAGCAATAATCCCAATAATAAGATTGAACTGTTTCATCCGATTGTTACATTTTCATAACCAAATAAGCGTCTATAACATTACAGAGCCAGCAAGGCGCTGTCGGTGGGGCTGGCAGTGGAGAGCAAGAAAAATTTAACCAATGGAAAAAACGTGATGAAGAACTGGTAGATGACCTATTTGAGAAAGAACTTCAAGAAGCACTCTTGCAGAGCCGGCTTGAGCAGGAAGGTCAAAAACAAGTGAGACTCTATAATTTATAGCAAAGTTTAATAAATTATATCTGTATTCTAATTTCGTCGTGAAATATAGTGCACAGGACGAACGGAAGTTGATTTTTATGAACATCTTACTTAATTACGTCAAACTTCGTGGAAAAAGCAATTAGTGTACTGACTTTGAGGCGCACCAAAAATAAAGATTCATGTAAAATTAATGGTTACTAAAAATAATTCAGCGGTTTATTAAAGGTAAAATCGCTTCTGAAAAAGCGATTTTTGTATACAATTTTGTAAACAATTCATCATTGAATCAGTCAAATAACCTGATGACAAACTCTGCTTTCGCTACGTTTATATTAGCAACCTTCGCCAGGCCCAACCGTAAACGGAGATCAGGGCCTTGCTAACCGCAGAAGTCGAGTAACCTTATCTCTAGCAGAGTTTCATGAAAAATTCGCAGAAGAACCCGCCGCATTACAGCCATCCCGGGAGCCACTGTCAAAGGTTAGTAAACTATTTTGCCAGTTTCGTATGCATGTTTAAGACTTCACAGAAAAATCGCGTTTTTCAAACTTGAGCTCAAGTGAATTGAGTATCATCAAATCTCACGACATGGTGTTCTTTGAGGGTTCCTATATCTATATCTTTTTTCAGGCTTTGCGCAAGTACGGCAAAATTTTTAAGAATAACTCGTTAACACTCCTGTGCATACCTTGGCTTACCGTCGTTGCCTATCAACTCTATATTCCGTAAATATAAATAAATAAAATTTAATTCATCAGTGGATCCAAAATGACACCGTAGTCTGCCGCAAATGTCCCAATAGTCGACCTTTGACCAATTTAACTAATTTAACTAGAGTTTTGTTTCGTTCTATAAAAGGCATAGGTAACTGATCCCTTTAAGGATGTTCGAAGACTCGAAACGTTGGCATGACTAAATTAACTACATTATTTGCTAATCTTTATAGCTATGTAATAAACCATCAACAAAATTGTTATATATATGTTTGCTCATTTTTTGCGTTCGATGTGGTAGATAACTAGAGATTTTTTTGCTGTTAGCCTCTGTTGTGCCATTTTTTAGATGATAACTAATGCTTTTTATTTATTAATGTTAAACACGTGCCGAAGCAGCTGTTGGCTCAGATGAAGCAGCAAGAAGAGGAAGAGCAGGCCCTTCGAAGACAGGCGGCACGAGAGGCAGCTGCAATCCTGACTAGGGAAAAAGTTGCCGACGAGGTACGGGAACGAGCGCAACAACCGCGCGTTGTTCCTCAGGAAGAGTATGATCGAATGCTTGAAATGAAGAAAAAACAAATTGAGCACATGGCCAAGGTATTAAACCAGACACACAAAGAGATGGCCGTACTACAAGAGCAGAATGCAGACCTCGAGTTCATGGTGTCCAAGGGTTGGTTTCCGCCAAATTCTTTGCTAAATTATGTGCAGTAAAACCTTCAAATTCTCTTAGGATTATCTCTGTACTGAGAACTGGCTGATACTGTGTATTATTTGGAGCAATTTCACTTGCACATCTGTAGATTAAAGTAACAATAAATCACTTAATATATATTTTCCGTTAATAGATACATTCAAATAGCAGCAACATTGAAGGAACAATGCAGACCTTTATTGTTACTTATTTTTAATAAGTTCTCAGTTTTAAATTTTTTTTATCTGTAGGTGAGATGAGAAAGAAGGTGGAGTTGATCCGCGAGGTCGAGGAGTTGAGGTTAGTTAAAGATGAGCTGACCGATCAGATCGCCCAGCTGCATGTCTCACTCGAGCAAGAGAAGTCAAAGGTGCACCAATTAACACTTGAGCTACAGAAGAGGCGCTAGAGCATTAGTTCCAATCGTAACCATGAGCCTCTTTTTCATATCACATAGGGTTAGCCGCTTGGAACTGTCTGATATCTATTCTCTACAACGAAAACGAGCGATTATTTTATTGGCACAAGTTGGCGCCAGCGTTAACAGAGAGCTGTTGCCTAAGCCATCAAAGGACAAGTCGTTTACAGCGATCAGTAAATGTTTCAAGTGAAATCAAACGGCACAATAAGCCAAGAGGGATCCAAACGAATCTATGAGTTGTAAGATTACGGCAAACTGGCTGATTATGAAAAGTGTGGGACGAAAGTCTAAAAAATATCAATTTTGGGGAGAATATGTATAATTTTAATGTCATGTATAAAGCACAAGTATTTCCTGGGTGAAGTTTCTTATTGCATTATTTGCTAAGAATATTAGATAGTAATGAAGTTTCATTTTATTTCGAAGCAAAATTATTCATTTAATGAACGAATACCGGTAATGAATATATAAAAAGCAGCGTATAAATAACACAAAAATGTCGTAAATATTTATTTTTGCAGTGATT